CGGAAGCAGAAGGGAAAAGCGGGTGCGCGCCTGCGCGCCGCCGACGGGAGGGTCCCTGCCCCACCCCGCGGTGCAGTGGACTCGTCCCCGGGAGCCGGGAGCCGCCAGCCCCGTTCCGTGCCCCGGGCGGTACCAACGTCCCACCGGGGGGGGGGGGGGGGGGAGCTGCCCTCCGGTAGCGCCTGGCTGCCGCCGGAGCACAAACGCGGGGGGCGGCTGTAGCATCCCGAGTGGCAGCTTTAACGCGGTTCGTGCTGCGCAGTGCACGGGGCTTAGCGTGAATCATAGAATCACAGAACGGTTTGGGTTGGAAAGGACCTCAAGATGATCCAGTTCCAACCCCTGCCGTGGGCAGGGACACCTCACACTAAGCCATGGCACCCAAGGCTCTGTCCAACCTGGCCTTGAACACTGCCAGGGATGGAGCATTCACAACCTCCCTGGGCAACCCATTCCAGTGCCTCAGCACCCTGACAGTAAAGAATTTCCTCCTTATATCCAATCTAAACTTCCCCTGTTTAAGCTTGAACCCGTTACCCCTTGTCCTATAACTGCAGTCCCTAATGAAGAGTTCCTCCCCAGCATCCCTATAGGCCCCCTTCATGTCACCTTCCCTCCGAGGGCCTACAGCTCTGACAGCGGGTCCATCTGCTTTAGATCATAAACATCCAGCGTGGAAACAGGGCGTAGAACACGGCTATAAAACAACGCTGCCCTTTCCAAATCCACCTCCTGGCTTTCCCGTGCTGCTCTGAAAGAACCTGCTGCTGTTTGGGCTGGAAACGGGCTCAAATCCTAGCCTACCATGGGACAAATCTTGTCTCTGGCTTCCACGCTGGGACCCGTGCAGCTGATTTCTTTCTCCTCTTTGGCTTATGGTCGCAGGCTGTTCAGAACTGATGCCTTTTGTGCTGCTGCTGTACAGAGCTAAATCCAATTCGGTCCCAGTTTACTGGGGCCTTTCAGCACTACAGGGAAACAGTCCTTAAAGAGGGGCAAACAGCTGTCACCTGGTGACTGGTTAAACCTCCGGCACTTCAAGCTTTGGGCTTTGCTGTGATACAAAAGCAAAGCATTGCAGATTGCCCAACTACAGCTGTCACGGAGAGAACGCGCTGTGCTTGTGCTGCTGCCCCCAGGGCATCTCCACAAAAGCAGTGCAAAGCCTGGCACGGGAACCAGCTGGAAGGCTCTAGCTTAGAGCGAGGTTTGCATTGTGCACCGACCTTCTAATCCTGTCTCATTCTGCAGTAACAGCAGAGTTCTGACTGAACGGGTTGCAGGTGCGTTAGTGTCAGGCAGCCAAGTGTACAGGATGCTGAGGTTTTGTGAGGGAGCGCAAGGAGCTGCACAGTGGAGATGTTCAGGTGAAGGCAGAACTGCCCAGATACACAAAGAAACTGAAAAAGCAGAAAAGGAGCACTGAGAATAGCGTAGTCATCAGTTTTCCTCTTCTAAAGCCTCTTCCAAGTGGGACTCCCAGTCCATTTGTCACTGTCATTGTGTTACAGCAAGCAAACTGCCTTTCTCCCTCCTTCTCCCCCCCAACCACAGCAGCCTTTTGGCAGCTGCATCTCTCTCCAGAAATGCAAAGTTCCAGGTTCCCTGCTGCTTTTCCGATTTATCAGGACTTGGGGTGGGCTACGAGCAGAAATTTTCAGGTTAAAAAGTAATTCCGGCTTACTATAAAGCCAAAACTCTCCTTCCCCTATTAGCTTATTGGTGCTGCTCTGGGAATACTAAAAGCAAAAGCGTCGGGGCACAAGTGCCAAGTGAGAGGTGAATTTCAGACTGAAGTCCAAACCGAAAGCCATTGTGGCCTCCCTTCCTTACACAACAAGCAGCACGGTGCAGGATGTTTGCCTTGCAGAGAGCCGTGTCCTCCATCTACCCACAGAACCATTGTTTGAATGGAAATGGTTCTCCAGACCTCTTTCACAACGTGCCTCATACGGGTCCTGGAGGCTGGTTGTTACAGCAACCTGTTATAAATCACACTGTATACTGACGCAGCCAGCAAGGGTCAGCCTAGGACAAGTGGACAGTCCAGTGTCTGGGATAACCTGGATTAGGATTCATCAAACTGAGCACCTTCTCTTAAAGAAGAACTTGAAGCCTGCCAAACGCTTTCGTTGTGGCTACAGGCTTCCTTTGGAAGAGTCTGGTCCATCTGACCTCCCTGTTTTCCTCATAGGGTACTAGAGATACAACTCTCAGCTATGAAAAGATGTAGAAGACCCACCTCTACCCCGGTGCTCAAGCTCAAGTCTCTAGGAGGGAAGCAATCCTCCTGCCATCTGTATTCCAACAGCAGATCCTTGGCTCAGCTCCATGGCACAGAGCTCTCCTCCTGTCAGGGCTGTGCTGGGACTCATCTAACTGCTGCTGCATAAACTCTAGAAGCATGTTTATAAGAGAGGATTAATTTAGACACAAAACCTTCCCCACGCTTGACAGCGAAGGCTCAAAAGGAGCTTTCTTCATTTCCAGGTGAACGATAAACCTAGAGGCTCACAGCTCAAAGTTTACAGAACAGTGACGTTTGGGTGGCCACTGCTGTCGAGCTCCCAGTGCCTGCAATCGCTCCGCTCTGGTTCTCATCCCCGCCGGGCTCCAGACATCACATTTGTGAGACTCGGAAACTGGAGCTGCAGAAACTCTCCTGCATCCATATTCTCGACCCCACCCCACAGCCTCCTTCCCTGGCTGACTGCGCAGCGTGGTGTGAGGATGGATGGGAGGGATCGGGTGGGAGAGGGAAACGAGCTGCCACGTTCAGGGCTGCTTGGGCTGCCCGCCTTCACAGCACACGTGCACGAGCAATGACTCCTGGTCCTGAGCTAAAAGCAGAATTCCTCCTGCTGTTACTTTATGAAGAGCTCTCGCTTCTCTATTTCATCACAGCCATGGAAGCTACCAGACCTTTTGTGTCTATTGACAGTGGAAAGACCGCAGGCTTCCCAATCATTTCCCCATGCCTCCTCCCCCTGGCTTCAGCTCATCCCTTTCTTTAACCACCTTTTCTTGTCTTCTCTTTCCGAGTCTGTTTTGTCTTGTACCGCGTGGTGGTGCTGCAGTTAAAACCACCCCGGAGATAAAACCCGCGGCACCTGACCAGGAGATGGACCCAGAGCTGGCCCAGCACCAAAGGGTACGGATGGTGAAATGCGAGTCCGTGCAGAGAAAACAAGAGGAGCAGCCACATGTCCTGGCAGCAGCTACAGCCCCCACCGAGCAGCTCACACACCAGTGTGAATGAGAACATCACGCATCAGAGAAGTGAACGTGCCCCTGTGGCTACACGGTGGCCCTGGAGCTCGCTTTCGGGAGCCCCACACAGCTCCGAACTGCACTAAGGGGAGCCAGCGAGGTAACGATCAAACCAGAAGCAGCTCGCAAAGGTTTCATCCCGACATAATCCAAATGCAGGCACCCCTCAGGCTAACGGCTGCCACGCAAGTCCCGGTCCGGATCTAACCACAGGCAGGACATTGATTTCAATGAACATCTTCAGTACCCTGCCCAACTGGTGGGCCTCAGATCAAGACAGTGCCAAGGGAACATGGAAAAAGGAGCTCCCGCCTCAGCCTGGGCAGCACATGCCCGAGCACCCCAGAAAGCCAAAGGAGATGTCGCACACAACAGATCCTCAGCCACCTTGGAGGTTTTCTCCTGAATGTTAGCAAGAGACAAGAGCACAGATTCCTCACCGAAGGGCTGAGAAACAAGGTCGAAGTTGCAATAACTCATGTGCAATCCCCATGCAATTAGGATTAACGATATGACGAGCCTTTCTCCTGTTGTGACAGCTAGCTCCAGCTCCTCACACTCCACAGATCTCCATAGCAGCTGTCCAGAGGAGAATCGCTCACACTAGCAATAACCTCAGAGGACCACACCGAGCACGGCTCCAGGCTCTTGGTGCTCTGGGCATCAAGATCTGTATCCTCCCAGGTTTAGATGTACAGCAGCGTGCAGGACCGCAAACAGAGCCTCTGCTAGGAGGCTCCTCAGGCAGGATTGACAAGGCATAACTGCCTCCTCCTGTAACATCTGGCTTATCTCTAAACATCCACACAGCACTTGCCCTTATTCAGCTCCCTGCCTCCTAGTTTTTGCTGTGACACCTGCAAAACGTTCACTAACAGCCAAGGGCTATTAGCTGTGCTCCTTTCTTATTCCCCTTCAGCCAGCCTGAAGGCAAAATAGGCTTTTCATAGCACATGTCCAAGGGCAGCCAGTTCTTCTGTCCCAAGAAGGTTTTACTGACCTTAACTGCCTCTGAGACCCTCTTACTGGAGAGCGAGCATTGCTTGAGGATGCAGGGTAGAGAAAGAGCTCGTTTCCAGGAGATTTTCTCTGCCCAAAGACAACCCTTTGAGAATTAAAATGTTCTTCAGTGCTCTGAGTACCTGCCCCAAAGAGGAGGGACAGGCTTTGTCCGTCAGCCAAAGCCGTGCAGCAAAGCCACAGTGAATGTGGTAGGAGGACAGAGTCCCATGCACACTGCCAAAGGAGCAGCTTACATCTGGAAAGCAACAATCTCACCCATGCAGGTGCTGGGAGGCACCGCTTTGTGTTGGTTAATAAAGGTTTGGATGCTCTAGAGATCCCTGTGCCCGTGCATAGGCCAGATGCTGAGCTGACTTATCACTGCAGCTGTGAAAAGGATCCAGCTTCCCTCAGGCAGCAGGGAGCAGAGCTTTGTGGAGGAAAAATAGGAATTGTTAAAGGAAAAGCGGACCTGGAATCCTCCTTGGGGGAAAGGGGTGGGAAACGGTCCAGTGGCCAAAGAAAAGGAGGGTGAACTATTGCCAGGCAGGATTCCGAGCTCATTTTGACTATGTGGAGAAAGAGCCAGGCCAAGCAGGGTGCGGGGTACAGCCAAGCCAGGTGAAAAGGGAAGCAATCCAAGAGGCTGCTTTGGGCAGGGGAATGGCAGTGCCAGAGGGGAGCCTGGGGAGCGGGGTGCAGCCAGGCTGGGCCAGAGCCATACTCACTCAGGCACTGCAGAGCACTTTTATTCACAAGGGGTTTGGCACACAGAGAGCAGCTGGTGCAGCTGGAGAAGACCCCTGGCACGAGCTGGTGCCTATTGATCTCTTTCCACCTTTCTTTCGGCTCCTTTGGCTCTTTCTCCTTCTCTCTGTCTTTTGGCTGCTCTTTGTTCTTACCCTGGAAGGAGAGAAAAGAAACCCCACAGCTCTGTTACAGCCCTTGCACTGCCCACGCGTTCCCTGTAAGTACAGTGGGCACCTTTGTGCCTGAGCCTTTGGGGTGGCAGTGCTTCTCCCAGATGCCTTCCTGAGGCTTGGGCCAGTCCCTCTGGTCCATTGATGAAAAGCAGGACACGGCACTGCAGCCCATGGGGCCCTGCAGGCTCCCCTCCTTGCCACACTAAGAGTGATCCAGGCAGTCACCCAAGCAAAGGGCTCTTCTCTTGGTCTGCACAACTTGTGCTAAGAGAGCAGGAGAGCAGCCAGAACGTGCCCTGGAGCAAGGTGGGCTGAGAGTCAGGGGATCACCCTGTCCAGTGCATCACAGCACAGGCAAAGCCACACTACTGGTCCCTGGGGCAGATCCCTTTTGTTGTTTGAAGAACTCAACAATTTCTTCCCCGAATCCAGCACCTCTCGCTCACCTTCTCCTTTTGCCAGGACCCAGTGACTCGGCTCCGCAGGGAACTCAGGCGTCGCATCACCTTCGTGCCTTTCTCTGCTTTATCGCTCTTTCCACTGTCCTCATTCCTGGAACAAGACCAGAAACCTCTTAAGTAAGGGGAAGTAAACTGGCCAAGCCCAGCTCAGGGAGACCACGGATGAAGTTCACCTGAAGCCTTACTTTAGGACCCCATCTCTGAGCTTTTTATCTCCTGAAGGATCTGGTTTAGCATCAGTCCTGCCATTGCAGACTTGCAGATAAGGAGCTGAAATGTCCAATTCTGTGTGTAATTTGAGGCTGTCTCTTTTTGCTCAGTGTCGGGCACAACAAGGCCCCAGTTCTGGCTGCACCACTGCAGATACCAGCATCATAACAGCCTCCAGTATCTGAAAGGGGCCTGTAAGGATGCTGGGGATGGACTCTTCATTAGGGACTATAGTGGTAGGACAAGGGGTAATGGGTTAAAACTAAAACAGGGGAAGTTCAGATTGGATATAAGGAGGAAATTCTTTACTGTCAGGGTGGTGAGGCCCTGGAATGGGTTGCCCAGGGAGGTTGTGAATGCTCCATCCCTGGCAGCGTTCAAGGCCAGGTTGGACAGAGCCTTGGGTACCATGGTTTAGTGTGAGGTGTCCCTGCCCATGGCAGGGGGGTTGGAACTGGATGATCTTAAGGTCCTTTCCAACCCTAACTATGATTCTATGTTTCTACCCTGCACACAGTATTAGCAGGGCAGTGGAGCTTTATGGAGGTGGGCTCCAAATCAGGCTGCTTTGGGAATCAAAGGTGCGTGGGTTACCCTCTGTCTCACTTACTCATTAGACAGGAACTCAAACCAGGTGAGGTTCTGCTGGGAGGAATCGCTGCCTTCTCGCACGTGCGCCCTCTGCTTCGCCCTGTGTGGGGAAAAGACATCAGACCCTCAGCAAAGGGCACAAGAGCAGAACTTCTGGGTCTGCAGAAAGGCTCATCTCGGGAGATGGGGCAGGAGCACGTTAAGAGCTACAGGAGAGGCACGTGCGATGCTACCTCTCCTCCTGATTCTATGCTGGTTTCACTGGAAGAATGCAGTGATTCTGGTACCCTGGGGACTGGTCCCTCAGGGGATGAAGTGGTGTGTGCATCCTAGGTAGACCGGTGACCTCCCCATGCATATCCCTCTCCCAGCCACACTTACCCATGGTAATATTTCAGCTCCTGAAGTACCTGCTGGACAATTAGCCTACCAAGGATGGGGCAAAAGAAAAGCAAGGGGTTAGAAAATGTCCTTGCAAAGACATGCTGCACTCCACAAATCATCAGGTGCTGCTTTATGACCAACTCCTCAGCTGTGCCCCAGCATGGAGCGGGATCTCCTTTGCTATTACATCTCCAGTAGCTCAGATATACTCAAGACAGCCAGGACTAACGATACCTACACATGGTCTGGGGACACGTGGTCCTTCTCCAGCATCTCCAGGGCAGGGGGCTGAACAGCTGGAACACAAAACACTCTCATCAGGGATCCTGGTTTGCCTTTGTTTGCACCGTGTTGCAAGCTATGTCACTGGACCCCATTAATCTTGCTGAGCTCCCACTCTGCCTTTAGTGGGGAGGGAGAAGTGATGGGAGCAGTTAGGGAGGGAAAGGCTGCACTGCTCATCTGTGAGGGTGGCAAAGGCTGCATCACTTTCCTGTTACCCCTGCCTTCTGCAGTCTGTATTACATAAACCTCCGAGGATCCTGCTTGCTGCTAGGGGGTAGGAGCTGGTGCCACCCCAGAGACCCTCCCCGTGACAGCTTCCCCTCCACTTCCCAGGCTCTTAACAAGTCTCAGCACTTTGCTCTGGGGCTCCTCACGGGTGAACGGATTCCAGCAGCACAGAGAAGGCCAAAATGCAGTTTACAGGAGCAAAGGTGCCTCTGTTTGCCTACGGCTTTTCAGCTTCCAGTGCAGAAAGCAGAAGCCGACAGCCTTGTCCCGAAGCCTGTCCCTGCCACCTGTGCACGGTGGGTTAGGTAAGGGCACCGCTGGAAGAAGGGACCTTGTGCAGAGACCACGTTTGCCCCGTTCTTTGGGGCACAGAAGAAAGGGCACATTTAAACCTGGGCAGATGAAGCAGTGCCTTTTGTGCCTAGGAAAGCATCTTTGCCTTGTGCGAGTCGGGAGTGATCAAGACACCAGCCAGAGAGAGGCTGCAGGGCAATGTGTCGCTGGGGATATGCATGTCTAAGCTTGGGCTGTCCTGTAAGCCAGGATCAGATTCAAAGTCAGCTTGGCCTTGTTTCAGGAGCTGCTGGGACCCTGTAGAAGGGGAGGGTGAGGAAGTGCAGGCTTGCAGAGGCTCCATCTCCAGGTTTTAATCTTCATCACAAGCCCTCATTTAATGCTGTACCTATAGCCTATACCGACCTTCCGCAGCTGGAAGAGGAGGGTTGAGGCTGCGAGGTGTCTGCAGGGAGACAGCCGCCTCAGCGGCTGATGGGACAGACTTTGACCTCAGTCTCTTCCTGCTGCTGCCGCATTCCTGGAGAAGGAAAAAGTCAAGGATGCCCTTGGTGCTTTGTGCCCCACGGGAGCCTCCACTGGGGCTCGGCACGGCTGGCAAGGGGCAAGGCTGGGAATGCCGGCGTCAGCGCACGCAGCCCTCGCACACTCACCACCTCCTCCAAGCCAGGGCTGGCCGTGGGGCTCAGGTGCAGTGGTTCTATCTCCACTTTGATCACCGTGCTACCCCTGCTGCTGCTCCAGGCTTCCAGTTCCCCTTTGGGCGGCTGAAGGGACACGCGAGGCTGCGGGCAGGACGGGGTCCCCTTCTCCATGTCCTCCTGCTCTGCGTCACTGCCCATCTCTGTGGCATCCAGGCTGAACCTAATCCAGGAAAGAAGAACGAGCCACTTTAGCAGAGCCAGTCCATTGTTTTGGGCATGGCAGGGCCCTTGCAATGTCTTAGCCTTGGCTGGCCATTGAGGAGCTCATGCAGCTGGGACAAGGAAGGTCACCACAGCACGCGCACAAAGGAGAAGCCCGCACCAGGAAGCATCAGCCTGGACACCAAGACCTGAGCCTGTTCAAAACGGCTTCTGTGGCTGCTATGAGCTCCATCGTCAGCAGGGATGTTTGGTGCTGGATGGCTCTCCCTGCTCTCTTAGCAACCCCTGAGACAGCAGCCTGCCTGATAGCTGCTGCCCCGTTAGCTGCAGCCCCAAGCAAGTCGCTCTGGGCCTTCAGAAATGGCAGATGTTGTCATCCATCAGATCACTGGGGCATCACATCACAGCCCCTGCTCCCACCGGGGCCCAGCTTCAAGGAAGGGAAAAGAAATCCTCTTCTGGGAAGGAAGGGGTGGACCAGCTCCCCCAGTGGCCCACGGTTTGCTGGATGCCAAGTGCTGTTCCAGTGCCAACAACACTGGAGCGCAAGGATGCATAGAGCCCAGTGGAAAATCTTACTGTGTGCATGGGTTGTGTCTGCAGATCACTGCCGCTTCATCCCTGCTGCCAGAGACAGCCTTCAGGAAGCATTTGCTTAGGGGACATGGGGAGTGTTCCCCTTCCCTGGCCCCGTGCTCACTTGTGTTTAAGCACCCAGCGAGGGGACTGAACCCCCTGACAGCCACAGCCGCTCTGTGCCGCCGTTGCTCCTGCGCCTGTTACACAGCATACACTGTGAATGAGCAACATGAGGTCTGAGAACCCGCCTGTGGGCTTGATAAAGAACTGCCAGGATCTCAGGCTGAGTTGATTTTAGGGTGCCTTATAAGGAGGAGACATAAAAATAGCCCTTGCTGGCTTGCACCTGACTCCAGCCATCGGCGGATCAATACGTTTGTCAGCAGGGGAAGCATCCGTGTGGGAACCTGGAGCCCAAGGCACCGGTGTGGCAGGAGCACGGGACAGCAGCGATGCCAGGCCTGGAAACTGCTCCCAGCCAGCGCTCAGCATCGTGCTACAAAGCCCAATCCCTGCGGGCACGTGGAGGCCAGAGGAGACCGCGGTGATTGCAGGCACAGACCCCCCCAGGGCGAGTCACGGACAAGAACAAGGGTTTGTAAGAGCTCTCTTAATCCCTCTGGGATGGGCAGAGTTCCCTTGGAGCCAGAGGATGGGCACCATCAGGGTGGCCGATGCCGTTCAAGGTTCCCTCCAGACTGAACTGAGCTCTCCCCAAATGAGAGATCCTTTTCCCACCCAAGGACCGGGAAAAGGGGTCTTCCTGCTGCCAAGGAGACATTAAAGCCTCTTGCTTCCTTAGCATCTGTTCCTCCCATCCCACCCAACATGAGCAGTAGATGTATAGCTGCTCTGGCAGATGCTCACAGTGATGGAGACCACCCAGCAGCAGCTGGAGCCCAGAGCAATGCGATCATTCCAGCCTCCCACAGCATCACCGGACCACACGTCTCCAATCCTGCTCGCGGTGCTGCTGTACCTGCGCTTGCAGTCCACTGGTGATACAGGGCTCTCCCAGCTGTGCCTCCGAGAGGTCGACATGGATCTCACCAGCGTGGGGAAGGATTCCTCGGCCTCCTGCAGCTCCAGCTCCTTGTCTGGCTCTGCAGGACCCTGCGAAGTGCTGGGACCATCTTCTGGCAGCGCTGCACAGGGCCAGAGGTGGCCTTTGTGGAGAAAGCGGCAGTCAGCCTCACCGTAACGCACGGAGCACGACACGGGGTTGGAAAAAGCAACATCCACGGCCACTGGTCCCTCTTCCAGGAGGCTGAGGGCAGGCAGAGCCCGGGTTGCTTGTTCTGGCTGTGCTGCTGGTGCTGTGCTGGCGATCGGCGGGCTCAGGAGCCCCAGGTCTCTGTAATACTCCGTGCCATGGAGCGCTGAGTCTGAGAGCAGGTCCTCAGTGCTGCTGTGCGAGTCCGCTGCGGGGACATCCAGCTCTGTGGAAGAGGAGTCCTCCTGCAAAGGCAGTGCCAGCTTAGCCTGAGCGCTCAGATGCAGGGATGCAGGAGGATGCGAAGGGGACACCAAGCTGGAGCTGCTTCTCTTTCCCTTCTCATGGCAAGCAGCACGCACAAGCAGCAGGGCCAGGCCTGCAGCTGGGTTTCTCCAAGCGGGCTTTCTAATAGCAGCGCTTCCCCACTGCACCTCGCAGCCAAACCTGGCCCAGCCCCACCAGCTCGGTTTGCTACAGGAGCGTGTGGAGTTTGCCTCCAGACCCCGAGCTTCCCCCCAGCACCAATAGGAAGCACATAGGTATGGTTTTCCCCGGCAGCAAAAGCAATGTAACCTTGTATTGCTTGATAATCTGGATCGATTCCTTTCCCCCGTCCGTACTCCACCACTCTGAATACGCCCATGCAGTTTGCTGACCCTCGCACTGAGGCAGCAGAAGGGAAGGGGACACTTGCCTTTTCTTCAGCCATGCTGGTGCAGAAGGTGTCATCCTCGGCAGTCAGGGAGGGGAGGAAGCTTTTGGGGCTGTGACTCTCCAAAGGAGGGGTGCTGCGGTCAGTGAATTCCCGTAAGCATGGCTTGCAGTCAGACCCTGCAAGACACAGAAGGTCCCAGCAGGCAGCCAGGAGGGATGTGGGATCAGGCACCCACGGGTGACACTGGGCAGCACTGAAATGCTCCACATGCCCTCTGTTCCCCTGCCCCTTGCAGACAGGCATTGCCAGGCAACCTCAGGACTGCGGCAGCCTTGACTGTGCAGGGGTCTGGTGCAGGGATTCCCAAGCATCATCCCTCAATCCGGGCTTGCAGCATCCCAGCCAGCCCCTTGCAGCATGTCCTGTACTGCAGAGTACAGTGAAAGAGAAGAGCTAAGCCCCTTCTTGAACACATTGTTCAAAACACTGGTTTGGGCTGTTCTTGACATTGAAATCTATGAGTAAAAATACTGACAGCGATTTGATTTTCACCTGTAAGGAATAAAGGTTGCTGCTCTGGGAGGCCAGATTGGAGCCACGTGAGCGTGACACCATAGTGGGAGCACATCATTCTCCTGGTGCCGCTCACTCATGTGGATGTTCCCCCCACAGGAGTGGGAACCTGAGTGTGCCGTACACCATCTGATAACCCACTGAGAAGCAAACAAAGGTCTGGACCTGCCTCGTGGTCCAGCTGCCTGAGGCACACTGCGATGGAATGAGACACACGGTAAACCTGAGCCACGATCTCTAAGGCATCGCATGGCTCAAGGAGGCCTTTGAGTCCTTCGGGATACACAGAGCTGAGGCGGATGGACAACAGCCAGGCTGTTGGCCAAAGCACCAGGCGTAGGTCTCTGAAGATACAGAGAACAATAGCAAGAGGCTGTGAGCAACCGTATCAGTAAGGAACTGCTAGAAAGCCGTCATGGTCCAGGAAAGCCAGGTATAAACCCATGAACACGAGGAAGATGCTGTTGGAAACCACACTCTTGGACACCTCGCATCCTGCCGTGGGGTTTAGTGCTGTGCGATGCAGCCAGGAACTGCCTGGTGCCAGCTCGAAGAAGGCAGCAGCGAACGTGCGGGAGGGTTTGGAGGTTTGTTCCTTGGATTGTGCCAGGGTTTGGGTTTCAAGGAGCATTTGGGGGGTTTAAATGCTCCTTGGGGGTCTACGAATAATGGGGGTCTATGAATAATAGAGAAAGCAAGCATCTGTGAAAGCACTACTTTAAGGAAGGGGTTTTGAGCTCTAAGAGCAGGGGAAGTTTGAAACAGGTTCTCCGGCAAGGTTGGAGAATCCACTTCACAAGGCATTGTTCATGGAGAGACAAATTCCTGCTCGGGATGTCCTTGAGCCGCATCCAGAATGCTCAATGGGCAGACTATTGAGCAGCACCTTTTGCTTTCCACAGATGCCCCTGCATTGCCTCGTGAGCATCTTGGAGCGAACACACATGTGAAGCAGCAGAGGTTTTGGCAGGAGCTTGTGGGAAACACCAGGCAAAGGTGTCAGCGGGCAGGAAAAGCCACTGAGAGCCCCCCAAAGCAGGCTGGGATGAAGGCTAAGGTAGAGCAGACCCAGGGAAGGAAGGAAAAGGAGAGTCCCTGCTCTCAGCATCCCCTGCAGCAGCAACTGCCCACAGAGAAGGCATCAAAGAGCTGGGAGGCAGCAGCCAGAGCCCTGACCTGGGCTTTAGCTGAGCCAAAGAGCTTTTTTCTCCCAAGCAGGATCCAAGCATCCTGCCAGGGCTGCTCTGGGCCTGCACCGGGCTCCAGGCTGCAGCTCGGAACTGGATCCCTGGACCAGAGTCAGCTCTTTGGAGGCCTGGAAAACATTCCCTGTGCTCAGGAGCCGGCCAAGGCATCGGCTGCAGGCAGCAGACCCCCTCCAGGCCCACCAAAGGACTTCGGTCCTGCCCGGAGGCTTCAGACACCGCGGTGCAACAGCGACAAACGAGATGCGCAGCCGGGCTCCGGGGAGCAGGGAGGCAGCACGAGGAGCACGCGGGGCTCCAGCCATGGGGAGACCATTTTAGGCATTGTTCGAGCACCAGAGGGGACGCTTCAGGGCTCCCTGTGTCTGACACCTCCGCCGGATGATGCTGGGCTGGCACCACCGGGACAGCTGAGCTGAGGGGATGCTGCTGCAGCGGCAAAACACGTTCAGGCATCGGGTGCTGGCGCGGTGAGCAAGGAAGGACACGCACAGGGAGGAGGCAGGTCCGGGGGGGGCTCTGAACATCCCTAAGATCAAGGCGGTCGCCCATGTAGGAAGGCAAACTCTGGAGCCCCTTGACTCTGTGTTCCAGAAGCACCCATGCTCCATCGACCCACGATGCGGTGGTGAAGGGGACGGGGCACCTCAGCTGCCCAGGCGCTGGCAGCAGTCACCGTCACTGGAGCTGGGATGGTGAAATGACCCTTCCGAGAGCAGATGCTGTTTGCTTGGGGAGGACACGAAGCAGATTAGGTATTGCAGTTGCTTAATTCTCCTCTGGCCGGGAACCATAAAAGGTTATTGCTGCAGGGAGCAGCCTCAGCACAGGAATTCCCAGGGCAGAGCTGGGAGGAAGCAGCGGTCCCTGTGCACAAGGGGGGCTCTGCTGCTCTTTGCCAGGGCTTCCCTGCAGGCAAAACGTGATGGCTGGGCTCCTATGTGGGGAGGGAGGAAGGGAGCAGTGAGAGGCACCAGCAATGGGACCAGCCTCAGGGGCTGTGATGCTGTGGGGAGATTGGGATCTGCCCCCCCCCCCCCCCCCCTTCCCCGGAGCTGGTTTGTCCCAAGGAAGGAAACTTCTGTGCTGCTGCAACTGGAGCCCAGGGACCTGAATCGGAACACTTCCAATTGGGACCTGCAGTCAAAACCTCCCTCCTGCAACCGCCTGATTCCCCTTGGACAGGCTGGTCACTGGGGATGCGCCCATGGCGGTCCTGGCAGGAGAAGCATCAATGCACCCAGCGCTGGCACAAGCGGTGGCCCAGCCTCAGCTGCCTGTTGCAGTGCTCGGTGCAGGGTGCTGCAGGGTGCCCCTGGAGCCTGGCTGCTGCTGGCAGAGGGAACATCAGAGGAAACAGGGATGCGAGCCGTTCACCAAATCCAAACATCAAAGCACCCTGCGTGCCCATGGGGGAAAGGCCACCCCAAACGTGGCGGGACAAAGGCACCGCTCGGGTCTGCTACGTGAAAGCAATCCCAAGAGGAAGGAAGGACCGGGGTGTGAGGGCATTTCCTGGCAATGGGGGGTAGAGGCTGTTGGGAAACCACAGAGAGCATCGCTGGCAAGAAACACAACCGGTTCCAGCTCCTCCTGGCCCTGCACCCGCTGCCCTTCACCTCCCACCCTGCCGGGTACCGGGGGCCATGGGCACCACCTCTGTATCACAGGCACCAGAAGCGGATGCGGAGCGGTCCCGCCGTGGGCCCCACTGCGCAGGAGGGTGGCAGCGGTGGGGCTGGCTCCGGAGGGAGGAGGGGAGCAGATAAAGGTGCCCAGCGCTTCACACCCTGCGCTCGAGCGGCTGCCTTATCGCTGCGCGCGGGGCCGGGCTTTGGGGCACGAAGGGCAGAGGAAGGAGAGCAGGGGCCCGGTGAGGATGAGAGGGGTTCTGAGCCCCTCTGATGCCCTCCAAGGCACTGGGCAGCACAAACCCCAGGGGCACAAACTGCTCTGCAAGCAGGCGGAGGGGGAGAGGGCTCCACCGAAACACCCTTGAAGCACTCAGTGCCTGCCAGCACTGTGAGGCTGGTTCATGCATTAGAGACTGGCTCACCTGAGCCTGCCCCTCACAACCCCAGCACGGTGCTGGGATGCCCCAGCAGGGCTATGGGGACCTGAGCCCCTGCCTCCTGCTCTGAATGAGCCTTCCTTTGACCGTTCAGTTTGGATCTGGGTCTCCTGCACATCCATATCGGAAGACAGCTTTGGGGTGTGAAGGTAACGAAGGATAAAGAGCATCAAGAGATCTAACGCCACAGATGAAGGTACCCAAAGGCACCAGCCTGAGGGCGGTGTTTGCAGGCAGGGACAGCAGCGTCCACGTCCTCCAGGACTGCAAACATCTTCCCAGGGCTCTCAAGCCGCTCTTCCCAAGTCAGGGCACTGCACTGGGACTGAATTCACACCCCTGCCGGCATTCCCCATCCCAGCGATGCTCAAGCAGTGCCACACAAACCCCTCAGCTCGGGCTGCGCTGCCAACGCAGGGCTCTGCTCAAGGAATCTTGTCCCCAGCATCTGCTCAAGCACCGAACTCAACACAAGGCTCAGCCCTCGCTGGGCAGCTGCAGGCACCGGCACCTCCGGCTCGCTGGCAGCAACGGAGCCAGTTGTATTACAAAACCAGGAGGCCGATGTTTAACCCATTACCCGGCTCCTCAAAGCCTTTCTTTGCCTCGACAAGACGAAACGGCAGGAAAAGCGTTAACCAACACCCAAGCAGTGCTCCCTAAAGAGAGGGGTGCACCCACAGCCACGCTCTGCCGGGGGACCCCAGCCCTCTTGCTGGGGCCAGGCTCTCCTGCCGGCCCTGCAGCAGCCCAGCTCCCCACGCACGAGGCCGTTACCTCTCTTAAAGGACCACCTCTTCTTCCAGCGCTTCGAGAACGACGGCCAGGAGTGGTTGAGCACCGAGCCTGACATCTGGGAGCCCCGAGCAAGGGGTAACCCCGGGCAGGAGGCGAGAGCTCAGAGCGCGGCGGAGAGCTCGGTGAGGTCTGAGGCAGCGCTGCAGGCAGCAGCCCAGGGGCTGCCAAGGGGGGAGCGCAGGAGCCAAGTGTTTTGTCAGAAGCATCAGCTGATGGGAGCTGGGGCCAGGGAGGAATTCCTGGTCCCTGGCGTTCCCACCTGCGTCAGCGGCTTCCCGCAGCAGGGCTGGGGGGGACACGAGTGGCCCCGTGGCACAAAGCAAGCCCTGAACGCTGCTGGAGGCTGTTGGACAGAAGCAGAACACGAGCTGCGTTCACCATCACCTCCTTCCCCTCTCTGGCAAGGCCTCCCTGCTCCATTCATGCCTCTCAGCTCTCAGCCTGCCAAGCCAGCACCAGATCTGCAGGGGCATCGCCTTCACCTTCAACACAGAGGACTTGATATTTGCACCTCTGGCATCAAGCGCCATTGCAGAGCCTCTGCGAGGGAAGGCACGGGACCCTGCTCATCCCCATCAGCTCACGTCCTGCAGCTCTCAGCACGTCCCCATCCCCTGGCAAGGGCCCTTCCCCAAGCCCTTCCCGGCTCTCCCGCGCATGGAGGCGGGTGGGAGCTACCTCCAAACTGCTCCAAGAGATGAGATACTCACCCTGAGGTCTCCAAGCCCCTGCTCCCTACTGGCACGAGCCCCATAGCCCAGGCTGGCTCCAGGTCCCTCTCCCCACCCCTTGCTTGTGGTGAAGCCGGGTTGGGAACGGCCACAGGCACCTCCATGGCGCGGTGGTGAAGAGCATTTCCCTCCCCTGGCCACAAACCCCACAGCATCGCCTGCCCCAAACCCTCCCCACATCCCCTCTGCTTCATCCTCCACAATAAGCAGGGTGCGCGGTGCTGGGCTGGGCAGTTCAGAGCGGGATTTGGGGGACCCAGACCCCTTTGTGCCCAGCACCGAGGCGTCCTTGCAAGCCTTCGGCTGTGTGGAGCCACCGGCAGCACCCGCAGGGTGTTCAGCCCCCCCTCCCCGGGGGACACCGGATTAAACCCCGACCTTGCAGGCTGAGGCTCCCCAGTGCATGGAGGAGGCTGAACGCGCCCAGCACCGGGGGCTTCCACACAAGCTGCTTCCTCACCAGGCCTTGGAGGGAGATGAGCGACAGCCCCGGGGTTGTTGGGTCGAGCTCCACTTACCCCGACGGCTGCGGGCGTCGCGCTGGCAGGGTCCCGGTGCACCGGCACCCGCGGCCCCGGCTCATCCCGGTGCTGGAGCAGGGCGAGGAGCAGCGGCTCAGGGGGGAAGCGGCACAGGGGCCTCCGGCTCCACGTTCTCACCACTTCCCCTTCCCGATGGCACAAGCGCAGCCGCCTCCCTCATGCTGCAGCCCCGGGGCTCAGCTCCCGCCCTGGTGGGGTCTGGATGGGTCCTGCAGAGGCACCCGGGGGGATGCGGACCCAAAGCTCCCGGTGCAGGAGCCCCGAGAGCCTCCAGGACCAGCGACGGCTGCGAAGATGGAACCTGCCCCGAACGGCTTCCTGCTCCCTTGTGGGTCTGCGCCATCGCTCACGGGCTCCTGCCCGCGGCTGCGAGGCCTCGGGGCTCCTCTTAACGCATCCCTTGTCGTTGATCTCTGGGGCTGAGCTTGGGCAGCAGAGACCCCAAAGCCGAGCAGGTCTCAGTCTACCTGGGGTGAAGCGATAGCGGAGCGCAGGAATGCCTGTGCTGGCCACGTTCACCCGGGCAGGTGAGGCACAGGCTCTTCAGCTCCCACAGTGAGGGGCACAATCGCTGGTGAATCCCTTCCCATGCCCCCAGCACAAGCCCCAGTCAGGACAGGATCCGCTCACATCGGAGCCGTAGCGATTACCCCGTGCTCGAGGGAACCGTGAGAGCAAGGAGGAATTAAGGTTTCATTTCCCCGAAGTGCACAAGAGCTCGACTGGGATCAGAGATGGGGCTGTCCCGGCTGATGGATGGGGAGATCCGTGCCCCACAGCCCACGTCTGGCGGGGTTGGGGGGTCACCGAAGCAGAGCAGTGCCCACAGCCTGGAAGAGGGATGTGGGGCAATGGCCCAGGGGCTGGCTGAGCTTCTGCAGCCTCTCCGCAACAGCAAACCTATGGCAGCGAGGTCAAGTTGTGGGGCTCTGCTTGATGTTGCCCATTTGGATGCCCAGAGAACAAGCCTCAGCCACAGGAAGCAGCCCCAAAACATCTTGAAACACCAGGTTGCTGCTCATCGTTCTCACAGTCAGAGACCTGCAGATGGCCTTAGGGAAGAGCTCGGGTCCAGCTGAGTTCCTTGGCGTGCCCAAACCGTGTGGGGCAGCCAGTCAAGCAGGGCCAGCGCCGCATCCCATGTTCAGGGGCATCAGCACCATCACCTCCCTCCCTGCCCATCCCAGTCCTGGGCTGAGGAAACCCTCACCGGAAGGTGTCAGGGACAGGGGTGAGGGATGCAGCGAGGAGCCCCCTGCACTGCATGAAGCAGCAGCACTTGCTGCGACAAGAAATCCACGCTGCTCACTTTTATAGGCATTTATTACATGAGAGTCAATCAATTCCCAGGTCCGCTGAGGGCAGAGCTTCAGGTGTTCAGGTTGGACAGGGGCAGAGCATCAGGAGGGCAAAGGCATGAAGGGCCTTGGGAGCAGGACTGGGAGCTGAGCAGGGCACGGTGTGGCTGGGCAGAGCCATGGGGAAGGAGGTAGTAAGGGAAACCTCACAACCCCATGGCTGCGGTGTCAGCAGCTCCTGCAGACGTGGGCAGTGGTGATCCCGAGGAGCAGGACCACACTGGAGGCTTTTGCTGAATGGAAAGGGAACAGGTACAAGAAGTGAGTGCTGGAACATGGAGAGAAGGAAGAGAGCAGCAGCGAGCCCCAGCTCGCACGGGTGCAGCCGAGCAGGGAGGGAACCGAACCTCCATGGAACAAACTGAGATCAAGTTAGGAAGCTTTGGCACCTCCAGAGCGGCTGCTGCAGAGCGGGAAGTGAGGCGGCTCCTGGTGCTTGTCTGCAGGAGCAGGATGAAGCCGATTCTCCAACTTGTGCTATTCCAACTGCCTGTGCAGGAGCTGGGCCTGGCCTGGCTGGGAAGCCTGGCTCCACACGTCACATGAGAGATGCAGCTCCACACGTTAAATTAGAGATGCAGCTCCACACATCAGAGATGCAGCTCCACACGTTACATCAGAGATGCAGCTCCACACATCAGAGATGCAGCTCCACACGTTACATCAGAGATGCAGCTCCACACGTTACATCAGAGATGCAGCTCCACACGTTACATCAGAGATGCAGCTCCACATGTCACATCAGAGATGCAGCTCCACATGTCACATCAAAGATGCAGCTCCACACGTCACAGCAGAGATGCAGCTCCACACATCAGAGATGCAGCTCCACACATCACGTCAGAGATGCAGCTCCACATGTCACATCAGACATGCAGCTCCACATGTCACATCAGACATGCAGCTCCACACGTCACAGCAGACATGCAGCTCCACACGTCACATCAGACATGCAGCTCCACACGTCACAGCAGACATGCAGCTCCACACATCAGACATGCAGCTCCACATGTCACAGCAGAGATGCAGCTCTCGATGATTCAGGTGGAAGGAATCCCTTTTACAGTGTTCACCCGATGGCATCAGGCTGCTGGAACCCCCTGTGAGACCATGCCATGGGCCAGAGGAGTTCAAGTGGCAGATGTGTCTATGTATATATATAGATAGAATACAGACACCAACTGAATGCTTTCTGTGCAGGAAAGCAGCACTCGGTGCTGCACAGACAGAGACACGAACCGAACAGTTATCCTGGATCATTTATTCAGCGTGTTCATAGAAACAGTTCAATTGTTCAATCGTCTGACACAGCAAGGCTTCTCTCTCCTTAATACCCGACCATATTCCTGTACACGTCACTGCTTGGCTCACCTACGAAAACACCGAGAACAACACACCAAGGGGGAACGGTTTTGTGTCTTTTGTCTTCCTTGAAAAGCAGCTCCTGGCCCGCTTGATCCTTTCGGTTCAAACCAGAGCTATCTGCCACACTGTTTGTCTCCAGGAGCCTTCGACAGGCACAGAGCAAAGTGCGAGCAGCAAGGTTAAACAGAAGAAAACAGCCCCAAACCGCCCCAGAGCATCACTGACCACGTAACTGAAACCGTCTTGCATGCAAGCGGAAAGCGTTTGGGGTTTTATGGCTGTGTTTGATGAAGCTGATGTCCAGTACCCCCACCCATGCAGGCCCTCAAACACAATCCACTTTTGGTACTGCAGGGATAAAGCCATTCCCTAAAGTAAAGCAAAAGGTAACGCTTTTCCTTTTGAAACAACTTTGCCTTTTAGACTGAGAAATGGCCTTTGTGAAATTCTCCATCCACCAGTTTTCCATGGGACTCGGTTCTGGGAGCAGTGCTTGGACACGAAGATGGTGGAAGCGCTGCTGGATGCTGCATTAACAGAAGAGCTTTGGTGCCGAGCCCAGCTCGGATCTCTTGGGTAATCAAGCTTACTGGTGACACTGGGACTTAACAGGGGCTGGGACTCAGCAAAGCGAGAGCATCTGTGCCCATGTTCAAGCTCTACCGCTGGTTCCTCTTTGGGTACCAGAACCACCCCAGGGGCTCCCGAATGGACCCGCTCCCATAGGAACCGTCTGGACTAAGAGAACTGCTCAGTACCATCGCTTGGAAAACCGGTCTCAGACCAAAATCACTGCCCAAACCGGGAGGTTTTGCTGCTTGCAAATAAAAAACACCCCCAAACAAACCGAGGCTGCAGGAGTTAATACCAGCTTTATTATACACCATTTAAAAAGTCAGTTCTCTGCCTGCCCCCTCAGAGCTTGCATTGTGCTGCAGGAGATCTGCCAGAACTGCAGGGGTAAGTGCTTACTTTTGAGAAGGACAAGCAGGTTGGTGTTAAAAGGAAATAACGCATCGGGCGACAGCAGGTTTGCTAAAACCGGTGGCTTTAGAACTGCTTTTGAACAGCTGAGTTCCTCCAAAAGCCAATGGTACGACTGGGCTTCGCTCTTGCGACGCTCGCGACGCGGCGAGAGGAACAGAACGGGCTGAACGCGTTAATGCTCTCACAGCAACAGGATCCAAGCGGAGTTAACACCGAGCCAAGCGGAAGGCAATGAAAAAGGCCAAATTCAGTGAAGTTCACACAAATACCAACCAAGTCTTATTTCAGGTTTCCCGTGTGTCTGATGGAACCACATCTCCGTTCCAATCCATCCACCAGCCCCGTCCCCGGACCGCACGCACAGGATCACACGAGGGGCAGCGGCTCCTTGGCAGAGGGTTTGGGATTCCCATCACGGCCATGCCAGCTTCCAGGGAGGCTGGGACCCAGCGAGAGGATCAGAGGGTTTCAGCTGCAGCTTCTTGCTCGCTCCAGGCTCCGAACCCATCTCACATGGGTCGCGGGAGCACCTAGCACAGCCCTTGAGAGGAAGGTTTTCATATGGCACACGGTATTGTACTTCCTGACTCGTATGAGGCTCCAGTCTTGGCATGAGGAATCACTGCTCGCAGCGAGGGGCCTGGAATACCTCAGGGTCCATCTTTGTATCACAGTGATGTGAAGAGGGAGCTCGATGGCTTCTCTCCTTCCCCTAAAATGGAGGCTCAAGAATAACCACTCCAGCACCCTTCCTGCTCCTGTCTTTTCCCATCTGCCTTCATCATCGATAGGTCAGGAACACATTAAGCGACTTGGAGATCTTTCCAAAAGAGATACCAACATTATACACAACATACTAAAATGAAGCAAAGTGTCCCATTGCTAGAATACAAATTCAGGAGAAACGAGATCCACTACCCATAAATGAAGAGTACCCTTCAGCATCCTAAAAGCAGCCTCTTCCACAGCAACACAGCTGCTTTATGACCCACAGAAAATACCTCGTGGTGGCGTAGTCGTAGTTCCTATCACCTTTCCCAACCCAGGGCTGGCACAGAGTTTGTTATTAGCTCTTCTATTTTACAACACAACGGAGTATTTACAAGCAGCCAGACAGACACGTTTCTAACCTAGCAGCCAAGCATCACGATGCTGCACTGTACTGCACGAGAAGTACCACATTTACAAAGAGGCGCTCAGGAAGCGGCCATTGAATTCAATGTGCAGACCTCCCCCTCTCAGGCTTCAAATGTTTGCTCAGTGAAGATGCAGCAGAACACAGGAACGGGCTCCTGTGCCTCCTGCTTCACTGGCTGGAGAGATGGGAAAGTTCTGGTTACATGGGGAGCTCTCCCTGTCACAAAGCTGCACAAAGGAGGCCACAGCTTGAACCTGCAAGGGGGAAGTTCTCTGTCCCAAGACCAGGTTGGATGGGGCTTGGAGCAAGCTGCTCTAGTGGAAGGTGTCCCCATGGGAGGGGTTGGAACTGCATGAGCTTTAAGGTCCTTTCCAACCCAAACCATCCTGTGATGTAGCCCTCCACAACACCGGGCACCAGAGGTGGTTTCGTCTCGCACGTGCAATCCCAACTGGTACAAAACCCCCAGTGTCTCTGAACAGGCATCAGCGAGATCCAAGTAGGGACTTCAGCATTCCCAGGGCGAGGATCATCCAACAATAGAGACCAAAGTGTCAGCTGCCAGCGGAGAGTAAAGGATTTTCCAGTGAGAGCTGGGCATTCCGGGTGATGTTCACTTATTCTTCCTAATTCTATAGGCGAGTGAGTGCCATCTGTACCAGCCACAGCAGCAACCGCTAGTGTTAGGTTTTTGTCTTCAAACAGGGGAAACCCAGCATCCTCACCACTAGCACCACGCGCCCTTCCTCACCCTTGGCACAATGGAGGAAGGATGACTGGGATAAGCCTTACACACAGACTGGATCCAAAGCACCGCTGGGCTCAGTGCAGTGACCCGAGTGCCACAAACCGCGTGTCCACAGTGGGCCAACCAGTATCAGTGGAAGTTAAACCTAGACCCAATACACGGTTCCAATGTTTTTATGGAGCAAAGATCTTCTATTTCCCCAGTGAGGATCGCTGCAGCTTAAAAGGTCATCAAAACAAGGACATGCTGGGGAAGGTTTAGTTCTGGAGGTCACATCATACCTGTGCGCAGCGACCGAGATACCCCAACCCAGCAGCACGGGGTCGTCAGTCCCAGCTCCACACTGGCCAACACTGCTCCAGAAGGACACAGTCTATTCCTTTAGGTCATCCGTTCCCTAAAATCCAAACATTTAAATGCCTCTTTTGCTCTCTTTGTTTTACATCATAACAGGATTAAGAGAATGGCATCAGAACATCAGATCCAAATCTGTAAATCGGTTCTTTCCTTTCCTGTAAATCATCACTAGATCAGTGATGAGCCCTTCTCCTACCCCTTCCCTTCCCTGAATGGTCCCCAGTATTGGAATCAGCTGATACTGATTTTCCCTGATCCACAATAGGCCCAGGCCAGAGTATTTAAACAGGTTTAAAGGTGCGTATTAAAATGATCCTTAAGAAACACTGAGGTAGACTGCACCAGAACAGGACACAAATAATCCCAACCACATCCACCTGCCAAGAGTTTACGGATACAAATTTACACGTTCTGTGTGTTTAAGAAAACAAATTGTCTGTTTTTTCTTTTTACAGTGTTTTATATATTAAAATAAATAAAAAAAATCTACTAAGAAAAACTTCTCTTCCTTAGAAAAGAGTGAGAATGTCTTCTTTTCTGCCGTGTAGCACAGAGCTGCTGAGCAGTGACTACTTTGTAAAGCAGAAGAAATGTAAACGAGGCCTTCTGAAAGCAAAGGTTCTTCCCCATGGCTGGACCATGTACCTTCCACCTAACCTTGTGAGCAACCTGCACCCTCCCCTTTTGTCCAAACCGATCAGATGCAACCAACACCAAGGCCCAACAGCTCACGGTGGTGCACAAAGCCCATCATCCTCCCCTGATGCTGCACCCATCAGTGGAGTGGGCTCAGGTTCCCCTTTCATCTGCTTACAGGGAGGAAACAGCAGCACCACCCGGGCTGGAATAAGAAGCCACACACCAGCTCCGTGTCCCCACTCTCACAGGGTGAGGAGAACCTTGTCTTCTCCTGGCAGAGAGCATAAACCAGCTCCTGGGCTTCTCCAGAAGGAGAAGGCAAGGACTGAGCATCTCCCTCCCCTTTTCAAACCACCTCCTGTATGACAAGGGCCTGCGACATCGATCATCTTCACTTCTTGCTTTAGCACTTCTCCCTGCTAGCACGCTCCCCCCCCCCACAAGACACGTTTAGTTTCACAATCATTTCCCAACACCTTATGCTGACCAGCTCGGTCTTTTATGCAAACAGCAGCAAAACAAAGCACAGTCCAGAAGACGAAAGCTGACATCCCAAAGAGCTGCAAGCGGCCTGGGCAGGACACAGGGAATCCGAGGGAAACACGGGAGGTCCGCAGGCAGCACGAGGCCAGACGCCCGAGCAGCAGCAGATGGGCAGCACGCAGCTGACCACAGTCCCATTCGGCTCCTGCTTCACGTGCAGAGCCAAGAGCCTCGAGCTCTCCTGCTTTGGATTGGCTTTAGTGTCGCTTTTTAAGGTCAGAGTTCTTGCTCGTCCCCTCTCGCTGGCTGTTTCTGCAGCACAGAAGGCAACACAAGGGACGTGGGGACAAAGGGGTAGCAGGACTCGGGCTTGGGGATGTTCTGGTGTCGTTCAGCCCTCACCAACCAAGTGAAGTCCCAACTACTTTATCTCAGGGCTTCAGCTGGAGCTGGCTGACTGCACTGTATAAATCATGAAACTGTATTATAAAGCTTTGTCAAGTATAAACTTAACATGTGCTTCATAGCTCCTAAAAGGGTAATGGGCTAAAATTAGTTCATTCTGAAATCTTTGGACCACTTTAAGACCAAACAATCCCCCAAATTATCCCCTCCCCGAAAGGATCCTAAACAGTCAATAATTTATATGAAGTTAAAACTTAAACTAAAGATATTCTTAAATATGTTACAACAAACAATATATATACTCAATGCTGTAAGGACAGAAAACTCCGCTCTCAGAGAGGGCAGGGGACTCCAACTCCGTTTGGTCTTGAAAGGTACCCACAAATCTCAGATTTCTGCTCCTTTGGCTCCCAGCACATTTTCCTCATTTTTTTTTTGTTTTTTTTTGTCTTTTAATGAGAGAAAACCTACTCCCAAGAGTCCTCAGTATAAAAATAATCTGTTTGGGATTCAGTCACTCCAGGGAAATGGGAAAAAAAGAGAAGCAGACGCTTCCGAGAAGAGGAAAGCTTCTGTGAGAACATACAAAACTTATGTACAAAACCCCAGAGGTGTATATTTTGCTATACATATACACCCCACATATATATACTGCACACACAAACGCACGCACCCCTGGGATTTAACCCATTGAAAAAGTATGAAAGCAGCAGCTCTTGGTCAACGTGAGGACCTGGCGCGTCCGTCTGATGTGTTGAATCCTTCAGCTGTAGTGAAGAGAATGCCTGAAAGCCTGGAATTTGACTGGAAATGCTCCTGTCCTGCAGTTTTGTTCCACCCTGTAGCTCAGATACCAGCGTGTTTCACGTCTCTTGTTGGCAACCGTGGAGGCTCCTCCTTCAGTTGAACGTACACGGTGGCTTCCTGTTTTGAAACCATGGTTACAGAGGGACAGCAGCCATGGAAACCTCTTCCATTTATGTTCACAGATAAGTCCACTGACAGCCAGTCAACTTGGCAAAAGAAAGACAATAATAAAGTATTAATCATAAGATGATTAAAAATCTGACGAGTTCATAGATGTGTGTCATACACTGTGGCAGCAATAACGAGAGTCCTGAGATCTGTGGAGGGGAAAAAAGCAGACACAACCCTTGGGCCAAACGGGAAGCGTTAGGAAGGGCTCGACCTGGGCATGGAGAGAATCCGCCCATTTTTCTTGCCACCGTTCATGTGAGTGTAAGGTATGTGCTCTTCATAGTTCCCCTTGAGGGCCATGGAGGGTCCATTGTCCCGACCCAGGACTTTGTCCCTCTGCGAGTACGAGGAGGGATCGAGGGGAATGCTCTCCATGTTCTCGAAGTCCATCTCATACTCCTCCGTTTCCAGAGGTTTGTTCTCCTCACTGTAGAAGAACGAGACCTCGTGGAAGCTGGGGTGCAAGTCCTCCTTCAGCATCTCAATGATCTCGATGAAGGTGGGGCGCATTTTGGGGTTGTACTGCCAACACATCTGCATCAGGCTGTGCCTAGATCGGGACAAACACAGGGTCAGGGGGAGGAAGAAACAATTCAATGTAGGCAGGGCTGGCACACAGCAAGGTTGGTGTCCACATCAGACTGCCCACCCCCCCATGCTACTCTTTCAACACTCCAACTGGGTTGTTTATCATAGAATCATGGCATGGCTTGGGTTGGAAGGGACCTTAAAGCTCATCCAGTTCCAAACCCCTGCCATGGGCAGGGACCCCTTCCACTGGAGCAGCTTGCTCCAAGCCCCTGTGTCCAACTTGGCCTTGAACACTGCCAGGCATGGGGCAGCCACAGCTTCTCTGGGCACCCTGTGCCAGCACCTCAGCACCCTCCCAGGGAAGAGCTTCTGCCTCAGAGCTCATCTCAGTCTCCCCTCTGGCAGGTTCAAGCCATTCCCCTTGTCCTGTCCCTGCAGGCCCTTGTCCAAAGCCCCTCTCCAGGTTTCTTGTAGCCCCTTTAATGGGATCTCTGTATTTGCCTGTTGCTCCTGGGGCTCCTTTTTCTCTGTTTCTGTCTAGATCAAAAATCCCTTCCAATTCCTCCAATTGTTCTGAACTTGGCTCCCGAAGGAAACGGGGCTGCGGTTCACATGCTCTCTGTGCACACACACACACACTTAGAGCCAGGTCACAACTTTTTAATCCATTCCATTTTAATTTGAACTCTGCCTGAAAGATAACAAAGCTCCTAAAGCTCCAAGGAAAACGGGAGACTGTGCAGAGGACAGAGCTCCTGTCAACATCCCACCCAAAAGAACAGCTGCAGCAAGAGGTCATATGTTATCAGACACCATGGAGAACGAACTTACAAGTACAAATAAAGCTTCAAAGTGGAGTTTGTTACTGCCCATGAGAGACAAACGTCCAGGACAGCAGGTTTTTTTCAGGAGGATATTCACAAAACATGTTTATTTTTGACTCTGGAAGCAGGCTGGGGTGTGAGGTTACCAGAACCTGCACGTCACTATCAGCATCCCCTGTTCCAGCCACGGCTCCTTCCCTCTCTGCTGGACGTTGCTTCAGCAGTGTCTCCTTAAACCCTTCTGACAAACATCCTGGCTCAGGTTAAACACTGAGGAACAGAACTGTTCTAATTCCTCTGCCAGGAGCAGTTTAGGGAGCACCTGGGTAAGCACAATAATCCTTAGCTCCGGTGCAGGAGAATGTCTGGCTTCAGTTTGTAACCTCTGTGAGGTGTTTTTTACTGTCTTCACCTGTGCCCTCTGTTCTCCCTAACCCTGCAGGCAGCCTGGCCTTGTGCTCTTGGTAGAGCAATGAGCCTGGAACAGAAATGAACAGGCCTTGGACATGAGGTACAAGGGGCAATGGGTTCAAACTTAAAGAGGGGAGATTTAGGTTGGATATAAGGAAGAAATTCTTTACTGTGAAAGTTGTGAGGCACTGGAACAGACTGCTAAAGGATGCTGTGAATGCTCCATCCTTGGCAGTGTTCAAGGTTAGGTTGGACACAGCTTGGAACAACCTGGTCTAGTGGAAGGTGTCCCTGCCCATGGCAGGGGTTTGGAACCAGATGATCATAAGATCCTTTCCAACCCAAACCATTGCATGATTCTATGACAATCAGCTCTTGGCTCAGCACAGTGTTCTCCTGCCTCTCCCTCCTCATGAGCCAACACTGGATTTCTGAAAATGAGTGGTAAGAAGTGGTTGTAAGTCTCAAGACTATTTATGTGCTATAGAGAGATGAACTACAGAAAACCTCAGCAGGCCTTGGATTAACAAGATGCTCCCTTGCAGCCCCAGTAGCCACGTGCCATAAACTGCCACCCACTAGTCCAGAGTGGAGGAAGAACATTTTGTTTGGCCAAGTTGATATAGTGCTTACTTGTATTTTAAGCTTTTCCTGTCCTTTGTACTTCCTGCTCTTGAATCTGTACTCACAACGTAAGGTCCAAGTTGGTTTGATTTCCCTTCTAGTGAAATAGGCTGGTTCAGGTCTTTATTTCCTGGCTCACTAAGGATGACACTGATTTCTGCTCACTGAAGTCTGTTTTGTTCCTCCCCCCCAGACAAGAAGAGAAGAGGTGACACACGGGCCACACTTTAGCTAAAGAGTGCAGCTTGGTTGGTTGTCCCTTGCTTTAGTACTTACAGCCTCTCCGGGCAGTTGTCTGGCTGATCCAGGTATCCCCCATCCATGACAAACTTCAGCACCTGCTCGTTGGAGAGTCCCTGGTACGGCTGCTCTGCCAAACTGCTGATTTCCCAAAGGACAACACCAAATGACCTAAGGAAGAGAGAAGGCTCCTGGTGAGAATAAAGCATCCTGCAGGTCTGCGATTGATAACGTCTTCTTTTGGAGAACGTGTAAAAGAACACCATTGTATTTTTAAGGAGAGGGCTTCCAAACTGGTTTTGGTTTGGCTGTACTCTGAAGAAGTCACAATTTATACTCTGTGTGCTAAACTGTGAGCTCTTGAGCTGGAATCCATCTGAGATTGCAGAGGACAACTTACCACACATCAGAATAAGCAGTGAAAACACCATCCTTCAGTGATTCCGGTGCCATCCACCGCACAGGCAGCAGTCCTTTGCCTCCTTTACGGTAATAATCTGTCTCGTAGATATCTCTGGTCATGCCAAAGTCTGAGAAGAGCAAAGGGGATGTGTTAAATGTCTCTCTTCTACTGTGCAACACCTCCAGATGGCTGTTGCCCTCCTTTCATGCCAGGCTATTTTCACACACTCAGCAAGCCTCCTATGGCCCAACCTGCAGTCATCTCTCATCTCACGTTCAACATCTTAAACATCTTCCTTTCCCTGCATCTTTCCTCTCCAGAGCCACGACAGAGTTTCCAGAGTTAAAACTTTTAGTGACAGCCTCTATTCTAAACATTATTTTTAGTCATCCTCTTTAAGCAAACCAGAGGTCTCCTTGCCCTGAAATTCCACTGCCTTGGCCATAAGTTCAAAGAGGTCTGAGAAACCACCACGCTGTGGGGATTTGGTTTACTTGTAGATGTTGTATTTAGTTATTTCTAAAAAGGTTTGGGTTGAAAACTGGTTCTTGTGGAAGATAAATGACTTTTAAAGGCACCTGACCTAACGACAGGATTATGAACGCTTGGCTTGTTCTACCGAGCACCTTCTTTGTCATAATTCTCATGAAAGCAAAGAACAGTGAGATAACCCTTGGCAGCTTAGGCTGGAAAGGCAATAAACGTTTTGGATAGAGGTTTGAGAATAGAGAAGGTGAGAGAAGCTGCTCTGGCTCTGAAGGAGATGATGTTCTTACTAAAGTCCGTACAATTCTTACTGCATTTCCAGAGGTAGCCAGTGAGCATCATCTCTGTTTGCCACATGGGTCTCAGGCTTCCCACAAACATGACCCATGGAACTGTGTTCTGGTCACACACTACGTACCTCCAATTTTTACAGTGAAGTCTTCTGCAACCATACAGTTACGAGCTGCAAGATCCCTGTGAACAAATTTTTTGGCATTCAGATAGGCCATGCCATCAGCAATCTCTGCAGCCATCTGGATCATTTCTCTCAGCATTGGTGGTGGACGACCGGGGTTATTCTACAATAAAGAAAGAAGGAGTAAACCTCGAATCAAGTTACTCCGTTGCACCACAGGCTCCCATCTCTCCTTGTCTTTACCTCAGCATCAGGTCTTAAAGAGCGAAGGTAACTTTTCAGATCTCCGTGTGCCATTAACTCCATGACCACCAGAGTAGGTTGCCCTTTGGAGACTACCCCGAGGAGGCGAACCTGGAAAATAAGTGAGGAATTCCCTCAAGGTTGTGTCCAAACACACCAGGCAGAGTCCAGCTTGAAAAGGGAGCTTGGAGGAAAGGCAAAACCCCTGAAAAAGAGCTCAGAACAGCACTACAAAGCCTTGTCATGATGAGAAGTTCTGAAAGAGCAAACATGAAATGATGCAGGCGGATGTATTTTATGGAACATGACCTGGAAAGCTCTTTTAAATCGACTGGTTCCACAAACCGGCTGCTTTTGTCAGCTGAACATCAGGCTCTGAAAGCACTAAAGCACTATTAGTGATGGGACTCGCTGATCATCCAAGGCACCCCGTGGTGCTTACCACATGATGGCAGCTGAAGCCTTTCATCACAGAAGCTTCATTTAAGAACTCGATGCGCTCGCGGAGGCTGGCTGATTCGTTCACAGTTTTCACAGCTACTCGAGTCTCTGGCTCTCCCTTCACTATGTCCTTGGCAATTCCTTCATACACCATCCCGAAGGAGCCCTGTCCCAGCTCTCGGAGGAGAGTGATCTTGTCGCGTGGAACCTCCCATTCGTCAGGGACATAGACTGTTGAGCAAAGGGAAATGTTTCTGAATTGAGCAACCATCTTTTGAAAGACCTTTCTGTAGCAGCCTCGTTCAGCACTGCCACAGGATACTATGTGTGTAAGACTACAAAACCTCATGAAGACAATGCCAATCCCATACTGCTGCACTGTCTCAGTGGCCACCCAAGTAGAAAGTCAGTGCAGAAAGCCCTCACTGTTCTCACCATCACTGGCGCTCAGATATTCAGGGTTAGAGGATGCGTAGAGTGGTCCAGTTGGTCCTTCGGTTTGCCTGGAAGAGACACAAACTCTTCAGCACATTTGCAGCCTTTGACACATTAGAAGGCAGTCTGATTAATTCCCAAAGCACGCAGCAAATACAGACTGCCCCAGTTTCCAAAGGCACAAAACATTTCCTCAATGAAATTCATGTGTTGCAACCTTTATCTAAGTTAGAAAATAAACAGACTTACTCCCAAAAGATAAACAAAAGCTTTGGGGAGAAGTTTTGCTTGTTCTGCTGAAAACAAGATAAAATTGCACTCACCTCTTTTTCACAAGCACATAAGCAGCTCCAATAATTCCAGCAATAATGATGGCAAAAATAATCGGCACAATTATAACAGCAATATTAGGCTGAGCATTCACTATGAGAGAAAGAGAGAGATGGAGTTATTATACAGGTCCAAAATCCAAGTCTCTTCCTCAGTAAAAAAAGCACCCCCTCCTTCAATAAAGTGGAACAAACAGAAAACTAGAGGCTATTTTAGATACAGAACACACGGCTGGTCACAAGGAGACCTCATGAAGCAAAGCCACACATTTGGAAGTAATTTCAGTTTCTTGGAAGTAGATGTATAGTCAGTATTTTATGACCCCCCTCTGTTCTCTGTGCGCTGCTGGCTAAACCCCCATCCTCCCAAAACAACCTGGGTTTCTATCAGGAATACTGAAAATGAAATGAACTCACAGTAATCGGCCACATAAAAATAGGTGGGTTCTGTCCATGAGCCATTCCCAGCCAGTGACGTAGCTCGGATACGGACACTGTAGTTTCCAGGCTGCAGTCCACGGAGTTTACAGCCCTGCTCACTGGCAAAATGCTTACGGGACACGCAGTAGTGAGCTTCCTGAGGAGGAGGGAAGAGGAAGGCTGCACACGCTACCTCTGCAGTGACCCACAGCCCTGCAACAGCACCCAAGGATCCCTACCTCGCCTCCTTGCCTGGCAAACGTACACAAACAGAGCTTTCACATCCTCAGGGCTACTCCAATATAGTGCTTTGTCCTGGATTTGCATTTTACAGTTTAGTAGTTCACATTACAGTGAGCATGTGCCATTTACTGGCCTGAAGCTCAGCCCTGAAACCTGACCTGGGCTGGCAAGCCCTGCTGCCCACAGGCTGCTGGCATTCAGGGCTGCCCACCACAGCTCTGCCTGCTCAAGGCTTTCTTCGTTTCTCTAAACAACTTCAATTTAGCCCCATGGTTTCTGTGCTTCCGTAAAATAAAATTCCTAAGAAAAACCTCCATGCAGAAAGCTGGCAAACTGGATAAGCTTATTTGGCAAACTGGCACCACAGACCTTTATTCCTCTGTGTTGCCTCAGATAGACTTCCAGATGATATAAACTCACTAATGAAGTTTTATGTACCTTGGTTCATGCACAAGGAAGCCAGAGAGGACAGAACACCATTAGCATGAGGGCTGTTAAAGACTGAACAGTCCTGGGCTCCCAGGTGGATCTACTTCTCCAAACATGCTGTGCTAAGGAACAAGCAGAAATTCTCACCTCTGTCTCCCCAAGACGTCCATAATTCACTTCATACAGTACAATAAGACCATTTGGCTCCTTTGGTTCTTGCCACTTCAAATGCACGGTGTTTTTTTCAACCAGTTCATGTGTAACTGGACCAACGATGTCATCAGCCTTAGCTAGAACCAAGTGTATGATAATAATAGTTTTATTTTATGTCTTAAGCAAAATTCAAAGCTGCCAATACTTCACAGAATCACAGAATGGTTTGGGTTGGAAAGGACCTTAAGATCACCCAGTTCCTGCTGCCATAGATGGGACAGCCACAGCTCCTCTGGGCACCCTGTGCCAGTGTCCCACCACCCTCAGAGGGAAGAACTTCTGCCTTATATCTAACCTGAACTTCCCCTGTTTAAGTCTGAACCCATCACTCTAGTCCCTAATGACGAGTCCCTCTCCAGCATCCTTGCAGGCCCCTTCAGATACTGAAAGCTGCTATGAGGTCTCCACACAGCTTCTCCTCTCCAGGCTGAACAGCCCAGTGTTCTCAGCCTGTTTTCATATGGGAGGTGCTCCAGCCTCTGATCATCCTTGTGGCCGCCTCTGGACTCACTCCAACAGATCCATGCCTTTCTTATGATGGGGACACCAGAACATATTATTCATCCATCATCCTTTCCTATCAGGACATACAGACAGCAGCAGTCCTACACAGTGTTTCTGTACTGCAGCTGGCTCCCGTAGGAAAAACAGCATTTTGAGATCAGCCACCAGCCCAAAGCAAAGCTCAGGAAGATAATTACCTTCTGGCATGGTCCTGGCACTGACATACGCTGCAACGCTGCATCGGGATTCCTGTGCATCGTGGTTACAGGCGTGCAGCTCAATGCGGTACCCAGTGAAATGCCGCAGGCCTGAGATCACCAAAGACTCTTTAGACTTCACCTTTTCAAAAGGTTTCTGCTCCTCTGCGTTCTCCAACTGTGCTGCAGAGTTGTTGGGAGAGGACGCCATGGTGGGTATCACCACAGTGGCATTTGCCACAGAGCCAAGGTCTCTTCGCTTTCTTGACGGCCTGTTGAGTAATACAGGTTACAACATTTGTTACAGTCAATGTCAACACACTCATCTGAAAAGGAAGAGTGAAAACAGCTCAAGAGTGTCACTGAAAACTCAAATTCAAGTCTTGTATTTGCAATGCAACAGAGAGTCAGCATTCTTCCTGCACAACTTCATACAGGATAAAAGCCCCCCCCAAAGAAATCCAAGTCGGAAGTATTTTCTTGAGAATTCAAGTTCAAGATCCTCTCAGCTGAACACAACTTTATCAGATTGCCTCACAGGTGCCCTGGACAGTGTTGTGATGCTTTGGAGTTCATCTCCTGCACATTCTAGCTCTGAGTAAGTGAGGCCATGCCCCAACTCCACTGATCTCAGATGTGCCACATGCTCCAAGCATCATAAACTTGCATGTATAAAGCATAAGACCAGTTTCACAGCTCACTGGAATACACCTGCCATTCAGAACCCTAAGGCTGAATCTAGATAGACAGATAGATAGACAAATAGATAGACAGATAATTTTAACCTTTTCCTAAGGGACCAAGCCTATTATGTTCCTTTCAAGAGGCACATTTAAATCTCACAGATTCAGATTAGGTGTTAGTGGTGAGGCTTTCTTTAACCAAACACTGCCTCTCAAATCACTGCACAGCAGTTTTCTGCAGTTGTAAAACCAGAGCTGGCATCGTGACCCTGTCAACTCCCCTGCTCCCGAGTGAGGAGCCAACTTCAATGTCAGAGTTTGTCAGTACGTAAACAGAGTAAATCCAACCAAATTAAGAACTGTTCACAGATTTCATTTTCTTGGGGAAAAACCAAACAAACAGAACAAGCACCAAGCCGAAACTTCTCATTCTAACACTTTATGTCCTGCCACACATTCACCACGAGGAATCCCAGGTTGGGAACTCACCACCATGGTGGATCAGTAGTTGTATTGTGTTACACAAAAGGAATCGATGCCATTTGAAAACTGGACCGTGTATTTTAAGGTGATGATGATCTTTTTTGAGTGTACACGTGCGTGCAGCTATTAAAGGGTACAAAGAGTGACCTGAACTGAACCCACACTTGAGGCATCTCTAGTCTCTAAAAATGTAACAAGCTGCTGAAGCAAATCTTTGCTGCTGAACTGAACTTTCCACTGCCGCCCTCCGAGAACCAGGCAAATGATTGGCCAAGTGCAGCAGGGAGCTGCGGGGATCAGGGCTTTGACTGCAACCCCCAGCTCCATTCCCTCCTCCAGCAGCAAACGCAACCAGCTGGAAAGCACATTTGAAGATCTCCTCCACCTAAACATCAGGTTGTACCCAACAACATAAGCATGTTCATCGGCCTGATGAAAACGCGGGATGCCAAAGGCAGGTTCAGCACAGCACATGCCAGTTTGTAGTTTTCTCTTTCTCTATCACTAATTAACTCATTCTGGAGCTGCTGTTCATCTCAGCTTTTGCACTGGTCTGTACAATGTCCCCTAACAACGGGGCAGAGTTCAGAGCCCCTGGGCTGGGTCATGCCACCCTCCTCCTCTGGAAGGATTCTTTACAGTCAAGCAGAACCTTGTTTGGATGTCCAAGAAAAGCTACAGGCCTCTGTTTACAAAGTGTGGATTCAACTGCTCCTCCTGTTTCAGGGAATTCTGGTTTTCACAAGTAAAACAGTAATTCAAGCACTGATTCAGCACAGAGTAAAATGCAAGAACAACTTCTTCCTTCTCAAGTAACAGAAGGCAAGGAAAACTTGTGAAGCTGTAATCCCCAATCTTCCCATACTTATTATCCTGCATTTGCAGCAATCTTCTGGCCAAATTCCCTGCATTTTCAAACATTTGATGCTTTCCCATTGCTGTTCCAGTGCAACTTTCATTATGGCCTACTGCTGAAATAGTCGTTCCAATGACCTTCCCCCTGTGAAATACCAGATTCGGATCTTGTTCATTCTGTAACTCACTGATATTTGTAACAGCATGAGTGCGTGTGACACAGAGGATGAAGAAGGAGAGCAGAGAGAGATTGCTTTTTCTGCAGCAGTGATGTTGGAGAGCACACATTAAATTACATCCTGAACAGCAGCCATTTAGTTCCCCTCTACCTCGCAGGACTTCCACTGCTTTTGAAATCTTTCCATGCTTTCAACAGCGTGATTGAGGGTTGGAAGGTACCTCTAGAGATTGTCTAATCTGACCCCCTCAAAGCAGGGGCAACTCGAGCAAGTTGCTCAGGGCCTCCTCGGGTCAAGATCTGAATACCTCCAAGGATGGAAACTCCAAAACCTCCCTTGGCAACCTGGTCCAGTGGGCAATCACCTGTTTGTTCCCATCCGTGCAAAACTTGTTCCAATGGAACAGCAAATAACAAAGGAAAGAAGAAACAAAGCATCAGCTTCTGATGGCCACTTTGTTCAGCTACAGAGGGAGGTGACAAAGGACGTGGTGTAGAAATACCTGCTGGCTCTGTGGAGGTGGGTATGGCAAGAAGCATTTAGAAACTTTTAGTTTGCCTTGCCAGTGCCAGAGCAAATTAACCCATAAGACTTGTGACAGTATCTCCTGCAGCAGCTAATGAACCATGTGCACAGGGGAAGGAACAGCTTCTGTGGTTTCCAGAGGGGTTCTCAACAAGTCAAGTAAGATCAGATCTGGACTAAGGCAGCATGTGGCAGATCCTCATACAGACTGGATACTGCCCAGGGATCAGATAGCTGGGAACAGCACAGGAGGAGAAAAATGGCACATGAAAAACAAGGAGAGAAGACATCGGGTGAGTGACTTCTCAAGTGCTCTGTCCTGCTCCCTGCCATCTCATATTCCCTGCTGGCCTCATCTGTGAGATTCCTCCTGGTGACTGGCAGAAGGCTTCTTATCTCAAGTGGAGTCCACGCAGTACCTCAAGAGAGGTCAATAAACTATCAGGAGGCACATAAAAGCACCTGAAGTAAAGCACACATCACGTTCAGTTGCCAGGCTGCCCTGTGAGCAGGCAACAGGCACAGTATTTACAGGAAATCTAATTCCAGTTTATGCTGTGACAGTCTGGAGTCTGTCGGAAAAGACAAGCAGGACGCATGTTAGCAGGAAGGTATCCTTACTGCTGACTTAGAACAGCAAAAGGGGCTTGCATTAACAGGATTAGTTAGCCTAGGGAAATGGAGATTTCTTCCTTAGCTGGCTGACAAGGTGGCACATCGTGGCGATTGGTTTCTTCCTAAAATACATACCCCAGAAAGTGGCCCGAGAAGCATCCTGGGATGGCTGCACAATATAATTGGGAGAAAAAAATAAATCAAATACATAAAAATCAGATCATCAGAATTGTTTGCCTACATCAAAAGGAGTCTGGCTTTTGTACATGTCTCAGTTCTCCTCTGCTTTTGAATACGACGTCCTGGTGTCATTTTGCACACTGGAACTTGACCTGATCAACACTAAATAAATGAAACAACAACAGGAGTGACTCTGCACAAGTCTCCATGTGACAACTGCAGGCACCAACCCAGGCTCACAGAGAAGACACTGTCTAACACACACTCCATAATAAATGCTCAGTGCAGCTTTTGTCAAGTGGCTGCAAATAGATGTTTATTAGCTAAGGGCAGTAAGAGGAGAATAAATTAAAGAGCCCAAAATGCATGACAGGAGGGTAAATCGTTACAGACTCTAACCTGACTCCCAGCGCTTCCTCTGTCAGTTGCATATGAAGTGTGAAGACATTCAACACCACTTAATGTGACACGACACTGTGTGTGCCATTCAAAACAGGACGTTCACCACCCACAGCAGCTGCATTCCTCATGGTATTGGAGGTATTTCCCAGACTAAGTGCAAGGAAGACCGCAAATACCGCGCTAAAGGACAAGGCTGTGGCATGGGAAGCTTCCCTGTTTTTTTTTCCTTTCTTTTCCACTGGACGAAAAGCTAGACCACAGAATTTTAAGACAGAAAAAAATAAATAGCTATTTCTGGCACCAACCAAGTTTAAATGAGCTGCAGGCATACAGCTATTTGTTAAAGATTCTCACTTTAGTCCCAAGCTGAGGAGAACTCGGAGATGGGAAATAAGACCAGGACCTTCCAAATGTGTAATAACATCAGCTGTAAGTGCTCAGCTCTCACCAGTTCTGATACCTGTGGTTCAGATGGACTAGACAGGCTCATGGAAGCTCAGAGACCTGCAATATGGCCATGTCCAGCCCAATTTTTGTTTAATATTCAATTATGTTTCCTACCCTTAACCACCAGGTTTATTCTACTTATTATATATTGTATGATATTCGTACCTGGGGACAAAAACCTCATTGTGAAGGTAGTTCTCAAATGTCTTGCGGAAAGCAGACTCCTCCAGCTCCTTTTGTATCTGGGAGTCTGTTTTAGGACACGAGCAACATTCTCCACTGACATCCTCATTTTCACTTTGATTATACTTCTGAGGATCTTCAGATTCAAAAGGAGGAGACCACGTCCTTGAGGGCAGTTTTAATCCTGTGGATCAAACAATTTTAGTAGCACTCATGCTTGACACGGCAGAAGCAGATGTTTGATCCTAACAAGGATCCCAAACAAGTGTCCACAAGATTCACAGCACGCTTGGGCATCCTGAGCTTTCACATCCAGGGCGTGAGCAGCTTCCCCATTTTTATGACAGGCCTTGGCTTCTAGACTGTGCTATTTCTGAAATGGAGCTCAGATGCTGCTGTAGGCAAAGTTCTACCCCAGTTCATCTCAGTTTAAATAACAGAGAGCAGTAGGTGAGATTTTGGGAGGCCTTAGTGAAACTCTGCTCTGAAATAATTTCCCAACAGTCACAGGATCCCTTCAAAACTTAACTTGGCTGCTCAGAGAGAAACACATACTCACCTTTTAAGCAGTAATCAAGTTCATAAAGCTCACTATCTTCTGCCTGCTGCTGCCAGAACACCAGGTAGTGTGTAATGTTTCCATTGGGCTCTGAGGGTGGCTTCCACTTCAGAATGATTTGGGACGAAGAGTTGGAAACAGATATTGGATCTAATGGGACTGATGGAACTGCGAGGGTGGGAAAAGAGACAGAGGTCACTTCCACAGCTCTGCAAGAGCTTGACAGAACAAGGGACAAACACAGGCAAGTTTCCATTTCTATGGGAATAAACACTCTTCTCCACAGTAGGTCCACGTCAGTCCTGCAGGAGGAGGCACTAGCACGCACACAAGCTCTTACACATGGCCCATGAGCCTGACAGCAAAAGGGCACGCTGGTATCTCCCATGCAGGGAAGCAGGCATTTGTTTAGGAATACCTTCCTACCACAGTAGAGCTGCAATGGCAGTGGAAAGTTTCACGGATATGGGACTATCATGGCTACCAGGCAGAAGACTATTTAGGTCTATTTTTCATTTCCAAGGCAACCTTAATTTAATGATACTGACCAGTAGCGTTGGTCTGCACGTAGATGATTTCACTCTTTGCACCATAAGTTCTTCGTTCATCTGAGAAGGTGACGAGGGTTTTAACAAATACAGCATACTGTGTCCATGGCTTTAAACCCCTCAGGAGCCAGCCTGGCTGGGCCTGGGCTTTGGGCTCATTTGACCGTGGCGGTGGGTCAACATCCACAACTGTCCAGCTATTTGATCCACAGGCATCTTGGCCATCAAACTCCGTCACATTTTGGTATGGACTTTAGGAAAAAAAAAGAAAGAAAAGCCTGAAATTAACAAAATCCTAATTCAAGCTTTTAAAAACATTTCTAAAGACAAGTTATAATCCTTGACCCTTGGGAGAAAACATAACCAACTCATTGTATGTATTCTGAAAAAGAAGCACAGGGAGCTCTGCAACCCAGGCTCCTAACAGCATCACCACTCCACAGGTGATCCCAACGGCTAAATCCAGGCTAATTATTTTCAGCTTTATGAAAATCAGTTCAGTAAGCATTATTCTCAAGGAATTCCCACCTCAACAGGAATAAAAACCTCAATATCCCATGGAGATAGTGGGGAGATGATAAACTACATGGTTAGAGTATGTATGTCTGGAAGAGTTGGAAGGACTAATAGTTGGATTGTTCTTACATGAGGAATTTTGGCTGCACACAACTCAGTAACTCAGCGATTTTAATGAACACTTTAATATAAGGGTAAGATCAGAAACTACAGGGTAGGAGCCAGACAGTCACAGAGACTAAATAGCTGTGCCTACAGCAGGTTTAATATCTACTCTTCAATGCCAGCAGCTGTTTGTGGAAGCCCAGCTTGGTGATTATTTTGTAACTTAATGGTGGATCACTTACGCTTCTTTGTAAAAAAGCATAAATCCCAGGAGATCACGGAAATCCGGAGGCCAGTACGGCTCCCACTTCAACAGGATCTTGTCATGAGAAGTTCTAATGGAGGAAAACTTCAGCAATTCATTTTCACCTGAACCAAAAGAGAAGCAACGACAGTTTTGTTAATGCTAAAACAAATAAAGGATTCTAGGTTTAATTCTCTTTTCTCCACAGACAGCTGTAAGAATGGTGGCATTGAGAAGAGCTGCTCACCAAAACCTGGTCTTCAATGCTATTTCTGCCTTTATCCAGGGGTTTGAGCTGATGACCTCCTAAGGTTCCTGCCAGCTTTAAGTTTTCTATGGTTTTATGGAAGTAACCCTGTAGTCCAGTTGAACTAAGTGCTAGTAAGTGGGAAATCTAAAGGGAACATATTTAAAGTTCATGATGCCCTACACAGCTGAAGCCAGTAATAAGGTTTGTACAGAAGGCAGAGGCTACAAAAATGAAGTGTATGAACTCCCAGCCTCGCCTGGAGCAGCGTGGTCCCTTTGCATGCTGGAGGGAAGAACAACAAACAGTTGTAGGAGGATGGAGTTTTGAGGCTCAAGGGACCCATTCGGATATGGTGTGTCCCAGCAGCCCGAGAAGGACAAACTGTGTAGCTCTGATTGGATTAGCCGCCCCTGCAGTAGCTACACAAGGGAGGATGAATGTTCACTTCACTGGCACCACATCCAGAACAAACAAGGGTGCTTTTTTTTGGTAAACAGGATGTTGCCCATGTGAAAGCTCAACTTGAAAAGTAAAAGCAAACAAAAAGCCAAACACAGCAGCAACCTGTGGTCTGAGGTGGGGGGTGGCACAGGCAACAGCTCAGCAAGAGTGGAGTTAAAGCTGGCAAAGAGATGTGCAACCATCTCTTACAGCTGCTTTCAAATGAAACAACCAGCTAAAACAACCCAGGATCTGCACACAATCACACAACAGAGCTGGGTTTGAACCCCAAATCCAGGCTCATCCCCAAATGTAAGAAGAGGTTTTTAGTCTCGCGGGAGGAGATGACCTTTACAGGTAGCTCCTTCACTCTGCCCAGGCTAGAGCTGCCATATCCCTGAGGGTATGGCTCTATGTATGGGTTTACACTGGTACTGCTAGTTTTTTGGGTAGGAAGTCATTATGTTCCCTTCCCTCTGCTGTCCTGGCATGGATGCATGTGCTGATATGCGGCAAACCGTATCAGGAAACCAATTCATCTGAAACACCTTCACCTTTTAAGTCTGTTCACAAATAACTGGATCAGCATAACACAGGCAGAACTGGGGAAGGGGTTGTTTGAGCAGTGCTGGCACCAAACACAGAGAAACAGTGCAGCCACAGGATGCTCTAAGGTGCATGGCAAGCTGGGGAAAGAGCAAGGAACTGAAATGCAAGGAACTGAAATCATACTTCAGTTAATGCTGGCGCTCTTGGTGGTGATACCTGCTTAAGCATCTCATGTGTTAACCTGTGTATGCATGTAAAACTTTGTGGGGCAAGGAAGAGAGATGACATAAGCTAAAACCAACCTATTTTTTACCAGATTACATCTACCATCTGGTTCACCATGCAGCCCGGTAAGAGTTATACCGGCACAAACAAGGAAAGGGGATTGTGTGTGGCATACAATGGGAACAAACAGCAGGGCTGGGGGTGCAGAAGGGATGTACTTATTGCTGCCAAAATAAACGTCCACAAAACTACATCTTCAGCAGCACAACTTTAGTTAGAGAATAAAGCAACACTGTGTGTTTGCTTCTCAGCCACGTTGACACAGGCATTGCCTTATCGTTGTTCTTGAAGAAAGCTGTGAGCTTAAAAACCTCTGAGAAGCATAACAAGTGCTGGAAGAACATCTCTGACTGTTGTCATAGCAATTCCCTCCCATGGCTCCAGAGATGGGTGGAAATCCTGTTTCTCTACTGTTTATGCTGTGTGCATACTGTCGCCTCATGACATGGGAAATGAAGATGATGACTATTAATGAGGTACTCAGCAGTAACACAAAGCCCCAGCCTGGACTGAGGTTATGTTGTGCTAAACTCTTCAAAAAGCCACAATACACATAACCCTGGAAAACTCAACAGCTGAGCCTACAAAGAGCAAACTTCTGAAGACCAAAGTTGGCACAGTAGGAGCATGGCCAGCTGGAGAACCCCTAAGTACTTTTACTCATAGCATATTGATGGTGCTGCTGCAGTGCACAAGGGCAAGTGCAAGTCTGGTGATTCACCAAAGGGACAAGGACAGTCCCTGGAAAAACATCCTTGGCTAGGCTGAGAGAAGGAAGAGCACGAGGTTAGCAAGACAGAGGGAAAAGGATGCAAGTCTCACTGCATTCTCAGGCTTCCTTACATGAAGCTTGATCCCCATTCGTCTTCAGGGCTATGTCATTCCTTTCCTGACGCCCCTTAGTCCCAGAGATCTCCTCCATCTTGTGAATTTCCGACAAACATAGTTTGGGATTATAATGGAAGAAGAGTTTGCCTCGTGCAATAGTGAGGTTGTGCTTACTCCAGTCCCAGAGCTGCCGAAGATTCTGGTTATCCAAGGCATAAAAGGAATAATTCCTGAAAGCAGAGAATGGAAATGTGGATTGGGAGGGGATCCATTGAAAACACTGTTTTCCTCATGCACTGATCCAGACATCAAAGATAAATGAAGGCAAACTACTCTGCCTGGTAGGCATGAGCCGTGAGCAAAGGAATGTTTAAAAATAACTTGGGAATTGTTTACCAATACAAATCACCCCGATGGCCCTGACACTCCTTATACCAGAAAGCATTAAAATAAAGTATCTTTTGAAAGAACTCACCCAGCTTCTAGTGTTTCTCCTCTAATCAGATGCAGTTTACGGAAGAAAGAAAGAGAAACCAAGGCATAAGACCGGCGAATTTTTAGGTAACCTGAGATTTCTTCTATCAAGCCAAGATTCGCTTCTAGCTCAGCTGCTATGTTATCTATGGAGAGGAAAACATCGGCTTTAGTTTTCTGAGCTCACAAACACTGATACAAAGCCCAAACATATTAAATAGAACTGTTGTACATTATTTCATGAGACCTTACAAAAACGATTTGGCAAAAAAACCCAAACGAACATCACAAAAGCTTTTGCTTTGTGGTTACTTCTCTGATTCATGTTAAAATTCAAAGTGGTCAAAGCAAAAGGAAAATACCCAAGCTCATGGATAGCGTCATTTTTACTGCTCCAACATCCAGTCCTGCCTAATCCCTTACTCCTGCAGAACTTACTTCCTCCACGGATATTTATTACTAAGCTTCCATTAACAACCGTGCAGCCGCGGAGCTCCTGAGCCGATGTCACCGAATCGATCGTCTTCTCCTTCCCATAGTCACAAACCTTTGGGCAGGGCCCTGCGCAGGGGGTGCAGTGCAAGCTGCAAAACAAGAGAGCCCGGAATGCAGATGTGATGCAGAATATCACCCGGGGTGTCCCCAGCCATTCACAAAAGAGCAATCCACTCAAAGCAACAGTGTCCTAACAATCTGCCATGGGATTCACTTGCAGCGGGCAGCACGCAGATCTGAGGAACTCCAAATAAGTGCTGATAATTCTTTAAACTATCATTTCCATGTTTCAAACATTATCACTTGGTCCCTTCCTATGCAACAGAAACCAGAATGAAGTGATTTTGATCTCTTTGAACAGACCATCCACCACAACGCTGCTCAGTGCTATACACACCAGGGCTTTCACAACCAAGAAACCCAGCCTCCATCCCAAGATGATTATGAACCACACATACAATTGATGAGTGGAGCTGCTCATTCATCTGGGAATCCTCTGATTAAGGACTGTACATAAAGTTATTTGAAAAAAAGGCAAGCAAGCATGTGCTTTGTGCTCTGGGGAAATACTTCTTAAATAGCAGCAAGATGACTGCCTGCCCTGGTCATACCACCACAAGAACGTGTTCCCAACTAGTTCAGAGAAATAGATGCTCTAGGAAAAGCACGGAGTACTGTTGAGAGGTCCTACTGACAGCAGCCTGGAACAAACATAGGAGGGAGGCGATGGGTGCTGTTACACAAGCAGCAGATCTACTTTGTGGGCTGCTAAATCATTCTTTTGAAAAACAAAACAGGAACCAGAATGAAAAGTCCTGTTAGAGTGAATTCCCTGAAATTATTATGGCAGGAGCAAATACATGCGAGCACAGAGCTACCAATATTCATAGGAAATCTGACTCATCACTATATATAATGTTATTGTGGGACAAACAAAAAGGTTTTCACTGATAAACAGCTCAGCCACATAAATTATTTAATTCCTTTGTCGAAAACCCTGGGAATAGGCAGAAGGGCTGTTCCCTGCTTTGATTTGTGCTACACTTGTTTGTTACATTGTCCGTTTACGTCTGGCACAGCTTGAACCTTCTCAGTGAAAGTAATTACAGGGATGAGAGATAGATATTCTGAGAATGATCCACTCGAAACATGCTATGCTCTTTTCATTAGACACGACTTCTCCCTGTTCTGCTTCATAGCAAGGCTCTCTGGTCTGAGGTCAGCTTTGGAGGGGAAGGGAAGCAGGGCTACTAAAGCCTCTCTGTTGCCCATCTCCCTCATCCCACTTGATTGCAGAAAGACCCTTCCAACTTGAGGATGCTCCTCTTGCTTGTTCTGTCTCTCAATCTCCCTTTCCCCCTTTTTCCACACTTGAGAGGAAACAAGGGAAGCCAGGGAAAGAAGCTGTTGGCACATGGCAGGTAGACCTGTCTGCTTTTAATGGCTTGAATTAGCAAGGTATTAGTTTACAAATCATATTAAAGTAGACCAGGTAATCATCACAGACTCTCCAAGGCCGGAAACTCTTCTTGGTTTTGACAGAGAACACAAGCCCTGTGTCCAAGCGAGAGGAAAGCACAGTCCAGAACCGACAGCCTGGTTTCTTTACCTGCAGACACTTGTACTTACTTGCTGGAATTCATGATGTAGCCCGAGGGGCACTCGTGAACACATTCATTGTTGTGGATAACGTGACAGCCCGACTCCCGGGCATTCTTGCACTTGTTGTGCAGCTCCTGGCAGAAGCTGAAGGTCACGCATCGCCAGCCCTCAAAGCGGTAGTAACCGGGTGGGCAGGTGTCCACACATCTGCCTTCCAGGTAGAAGTTGCGGCAAGCCACACATTTCTCAGGGTTGTTGGGCTCTGTGCAGTCCCCCAGACACTCGCTGTGGCAGCACTGACCATCGGAGGTGCAGCCCTGGGACTTGCAGGCAGGTGGACACACTGTGAACAGAGGAAAGGAAATGAGCATCGCGAGACAACCCGATGATGACCAAGAAGGCTTACAAGCAACGACACTTCATCCTGCTTAACTTGGCAACCTGCTTTGCAAAGAGGCACCCATGAAGCGCAGGCATCTGCCTCATCTCCCCTTTTCAGTGCAAGTTTCAAATGTTAATAACTTTTTGGAAGCGTTATCATTCACCCTCACGATTCGTTAATGTTCATCTTTAAAGAGAGAAAACTCAGGCTCCCTCTTCTCTGAGTCCAGCCCCACAAGGCTCCCAGGAGAGCTCTGGTGACTCCAACATTATAACTGAAGCCCACAAGCAATGAGCCTCTACAAGGAGAGCTTCCCAGACTGGGATAGCCAGTTTCAGACAGAAGATCCTAGTTCCTTAGATTAAGAAACTAAGTTTCCCACAACTATGCTGCAAATAATACATGTCCAACAATACTTCTTCAGCTCTATCAGGATTTGCTTCCTGTCTGCCTATCAACCTGTCACCAGTTTCCCCAGAGGAAACCTGCTGCCCTGCCAACCCAACACAAGCTCTTTGGTGACTCTCCCATCAAGCCCCAAAAGAATGGCACCCAGGAGTGTTACTGCTTGAGGTTTTTATGGTTTACTTTTTAATTACCCATTACTTAGTGCCTCACAATACTTTTAATGAGTGGTTTGGGCTTTGAAATAGAAACCAAGTGGCAGCATAGCTCAGAGCAAACACCATGACTAACACTGAGCAAGGAAGGAGCCAGAGAGGAGGCTGAGCAAACCCAGAGCAGCTCAGAAGGGAAGGACAGTCCTGCTCCTCCACTACTCAGCACCTTCACACTCAGCCTTAATGGCTCTAATGAGGCTGAACCAAATAAATCCAGCTGCTTAATCCGGAACATGCCCACAGGACTTCCAGTCAGGAAAGACACAATAAAGCTGAGATCACCACTACAAGAGCAAGCACCAAAGCCAAGTACCGCTTTGATGCAGCCATTTAAAGAGCAGGAGGAAGAACTTCAGATGAAGGATGGGGAACACAGGCCTGGATTTATCCCCGTGGTTTCATACAGCCTTTAGGCTACAGCTATGAATGGCCAAGACACAGATCAAGACAACACATTCTTCTCACCACACAGGAGGGTTTTATCTGAGGGCACAGCTGAACGGCTTCTGATGTCCTGCCCAAGTGCTCTCAGTGAAGGAAGACAGAGGTAAGTCCTCCTGTGACCAGTGCTGGCCAGACCAAGTAACTCCACACTGAATTAACACCATCTGCCTCAAAATCCCCTTTCACCATGCTCCACCCCATGTTAAAGGATTGCAGAATTAAGTGTGTTAAAGTGGTGAATGCCATTCTTGGAATAAGCAGCAGTAGCTGCAGTAGGTGGGACAGTAAAGATGAGCAACCTCTGCTTTGTTCCAGCCTGATAAATCCTTTGAAGAAATATGAAATGGGTAAGATTGAAATTCTATCACAAGGTCAGTTTAATCTCAAGTATCTCCCTGCTTCCACATCAGTCATTCACTGCAGGTATCTGTGCATCTCTCACGATTCACCCAAGAACAACAAGTACAGGAGTGTATTTCATATTCATCTTCTTTTAGGCTGACCAACCTTCTGCCCTGTTCTAGCAATAGGTCTGATGTTGTGAGCCCCTCACAAATACTAATTGATGGAAATGCAACAGCCAAATGGAAGCACCCGATTAGATGAAATATAAAAGGAGAAGCTTGCTTTAAAAGCATGGTTATACATTCTTTACCAGCTCACAGATGGAGCACAAGCCTGAAACAGATGTCACGGCTGCAGTTTATTGGAAATACTGGCAACAGAAAAACACAAGACAGAAAATTCCAGAATTTAGTCCAAAGCACTATCAAACTTATTCATTCCAGTCTAAAATATCAAGGTTTATGGGTGGGGAAAAAGCCTGGACTATTTCACACACACTTCCCCACGTGTGCTCAGTGAGCACTGACATCCTAACGTCTCACAAGGATGACTTCTACACTCGCTAGTCCCCTGCAGTGGGTCAGCATCCAGCTGGGAAGTCAAATGCTCCACAAACACACATGTGGGAATAACTAGTGCAAGCTGGAGGAGGGAGTGCTGGCAGCACAAGGCAGTGCTCATCATCTGCGCTCCCTCCAAAAGGGTATCTTCCCAGCTCTGTTTCATGCTAAAGAATGACAAAGTTGCTGTTAAAAGACAACACTTGTTTCCCAAGGAGTCGTGGAGCAGATGATGTGCAGAGGCTGGTCCCCATGCAAAGCACTCCCTAACGCATGCACGATGTGGTCTAGCGTGAGGCATCCCTGCCCATGGCAGGGGGTTGGAACCAGGTATCTTAAGCTCCTTTCTAACCCAAACCATTGCATGATTCTGTGATTGTATGGCACCTATTTCACATTATGCCACACTATTACTTCTTCGAATTTGTCATGGAAACCGACCTTCAAAGTCCCGTGGTTATTTACACATTTTGAACCCAGCTGCAAATATTCACAGGGCAGAAACTGTTGAAGTTCTCAACTCTAAAGGTTTTTAGCAGATACAATTAAACTATTTTTAAACTGTTCTTAACGTTTCTCTTTCCTGTTCTACAAGCTTTTGATGTCTAAAAGACAGCTCTGAAGCGAGCAAAGCAGGCAAGGCAATCTTTTTTCCTTTAAGCACTAGAGACCAGAAATTGTCAATCATTACTTTGTGCAAATCCCCACTACATATGCTCCTGAATCGATGTTGTCTTGACATTATCAAGTATGCATGATAGAAAGCACCTAAAAGTCATGTAGAAACCTCACCAGTGCATCTCCACTACTGCTTCTTATAACTATTACTACAGCATCCATGTTATGTGACTCTGGACGGGTCAGATAGGGGTTTTGGGGGGTGTTTTTCTGCCACATTATGCTTTCACTGCAGGAAAACACTGAACAGGTTTGTGCTGACCAAGTGCACCTCATGACCACGTCATCATTGAGGTCTGCAGACTCCAATAATTGTCGTCAGCTCATGCAGATTCACCTCTTCACAATGAGATGGCACTTCAGGGAGCTGTGGCATGGCCTGGTACACACTGAGGATGCACAGGATGCGCTTACACACAGCACCTATACAGCCCCAGCCTCTGGTTGATGCTGTGGGACTTTGGGACAACGCGGTGCCTCCACCATGGCATAGGGAAAGAAGTCAGCTCTCTGCATTCCACATAGAACAGAAGAAAGTCAAAATGCAACTTCATGAATTCTCATTAGAATCAAGGGAACAGCTATTTTGGGGTGGGGGCAGAAGCCATCACACTGTACCACAGAAGCTGCTGCAGGAAGAAGTGTTTCGGCACCAGCACATAGCTGCTCATCCTGGCCACAAAACCTCTTCATCAGATCTTTAAGAATGGGACTTCCAAAACCCCTGTCCCAAGGACGACAAACAGCAGAATGCTCAACTGATCTGCCCTGGCTGGGGGAAAAACAAGAGGTTCAAACCTGTTGTTCCAGGGGTGAATAAATATTTAACTAGCTAGCTAGAGTGGCTCCAGACACTTAGGAAACAATGCATTTTACAAACCTTTCTGATTATAGATTCAAACTGACATTTCTTCATGCTGCTGAGGCCCAGCTTGGGGGGACAAAAGGCAGCAGAGTCAGTGCAAAGGAATTTCCACCTCTCTGGATCGCTCCAATCGTTTCATCACTTCCCTGTGCTTCAGGTGCAAACAAACATACTGATACTGTAAACATATGAGCCAGCACAGGTAACCAGGAGATCTGTATTTCACAGGCAAGTCAATTAAGCATTCGGCTGCTCAGTTACTAAACACTCTGCGTACCGAAATAGGAATAAAACCATTGGTGTCAGGTTTTGTTTCTTGCCTTCTGTGAATAAAACAACAGCAGTGAATTGTCAGAAAAGGAGGAAAATAAAGAGATAAAAATCACTCGGGGTAAGTTTCGCTGTTCTTTTGAGATGCTCTGCCACAGGATGGGTTTAAATAGCGATGTTCTGGGTGAGCTGAGCTCAGTGCTCAAACGGATGGTGCTTTCTTCATTAAGAAGAAATTCCAACCCATATGTATGAACATAAGATACCTCATATACATCTCTATACAGACAGATGCTCCCACATGGTTTCAGGACTAATCTGTCATGAATTAAAGTGATGTTTCCACCTTGCGATCACAAGCCCCATCCATGGGAACGTGGGTCAGCAGAGGCAGCCCTGGCTACCGTGGGTCCTCTTGGCCAAGCAGGGCCACCAGCCATATCCTGACCGAGCCAGCGGCATGGAGCAAACTCCCCTTGCACCACCAGGTCCCTTTTCCTGAATTACACAAGCTGTTATTTCCATTACAGACAAGGCAATTGGGAGGCTCCAGATCCAACGAAGTCCAGGACAGAAAACATCTGTGGCAGGAGAACCGCCCTCAACCTCAGCCAATGCATTTGCTGCCTGCACAGGGAGGCATCCAACCGCTCAGCTATCTGCACAAGGCAAACACTCCTTAACCCCTTGCCAGCTCCCCAAACAAGCCCTCACCTCCCACCGGGAGCCCACGGTGCCACTCTCTGCCTATGATGCCACAAAACTCACCATGCCAATGCAATGTAACTGGCTATTGCAGGGTTTATCCTCACAGCGAGTGTTTTAACTCCTGAGGTATATTTATAACCAGGAGAAAAACGGAGGAGGAAGCCAGTATGAACCCGGCATTGACACAGCTTAAAATGGCTTGTTTTGGCCGCGACACGTATCGCTCGGTGCCAGAGCTTAGGTTAGTGTAATGTTATATGACGTGCACACGTGTATAATTCAAAGCCAGAGTCCCACAGAAACACTATCGCAGAGCTCTGCATTTCCCTGAGGGTTTTTTTTTCCCCCCTCTTACTGTAAATGGCTTCAGGATCGGTCACATAGATTTATCCATGAATAGTCTTGCACACACATATACATAATAATCATACTTGAGTTACAGTTGCAGTGGGAACTGTCACTTAATGTCCT